GGCAACGGCGCACGGGAGCGGATTGGAGGGTTCTCAACGTACGGCGAGAGAGCGAAGGCGCCGCTGGGGTTGGTCTGCCGCATGTGTCTTCTTGGATGGTTGCGGGCGACTCGAAGTGCGTTCTGGAGTCCCGACCAGGCTGGGGGGATTACTGGCTTTGTGCTAGTACTCGGCTTGCGCAACGACCCTTGCTGGCTGTTGCACTCGTCGAGTCCGCGATGGATGGCTGCCTGCGAAGGAGAACATCTTGTAGCATCACAGCAGAGACTGCATCGGAGATGATACTCGCTGATATTTCAACGCGAACGGAGGGGGCTGGGGATGTTTGCGTGTCTGAAATGCGCGGGACAGGCGGGGATATCCGCAGTCGAGGAGCTGCTACCAAAGAGTATGAGGGCACTCTCGGTCCGTCTCCCCATCTGACACCCACCAGTCGCAGGCCTCATCGAAGCGCCATCGCGGGGAGGCTGCTCCGAATCATGTCTATCGCTGTTGCTGGCGTTGCGGGTCTCTATATACCAGGTAGCGGATAAATACGTACGGGAGGGTCTGTCTGACTGTGGTAGGGATTCGAAAGAGGAGATCTGATGCAAGCATTTATTTCAACGTGAATGCTTTACTGGAAGCTAAATCTTTGGAGTGATATAGAGCATCCGGAAGAGAGTTGTGATGTGGAGAGCAATTTGGGGAAAGGGATGTATTGGAATCGTATGAATATGTATGTCCAAAATCTGGGAGGTCTGTTCGGCCAGGCCAGCATTGTTTCTTGTAGATATAGATAAAGGAGCTGATGAGTCGATTGGTATCTGATGCACCACTGGCTGTCATCCAATCAACACACCATTGAGTTCCCCTTGATCGTCTTCAGTTGTAGTAGAAGCTATCCCAGCTCTGACTTGCAGTCTAAGCGTGTCTCTACCTTGCCGGCAAGGATGTATTCATCTTACCCACAGTCTCACGGAATGCTCATGGTTCAATTCAGATCGCGGGGCAAGGGATTGCGTGTCAACAGGACCGTGTAATATGCAGGGTACAACATATTGTGCTACCTCAGTGCCCGACAGTCCAATTGCCGCTCAACAGGGCAAAGTATTTGAAGATAGATGTCTCTGGTGGTGGCCGAATTGCCACGGGTGGAAGGGCAGCAGGCCGAAGTCATCCGTCCGTCGTGCTCGACGTGGGTGATGAGGAGTCTTGCCCTGTTGATAAGCACCGGGTCAGTGACTGGCACGACAGCTTTAACAGGCATGACATACAATACAGGACATGCACCAAGTCCCGTCCGACTCTGCAAGATGGCAGCAGATTTCAGGTTATCTGAGATACAGATGCACTTTCTCGAACTTGATTCGGCGGTACGCCGTGCGACATTGCTTCTCTGGATGAGAGACATTTGACGTGAAGGTCAAGGACACGCCGTGGTAGGTTCGGCTGCATGCCTTGAGAGGTCACTTCCCTGGATCAGAGATAATTGATGTGAATAGTCAACGACAGCCTGTGGCGGTTTCATGACGCCAAATTCTGCATCGTGCGTTGCCTCAGGGTGGGCTTCTTCGTCGATCAAGAAGTGGTCTTGACAGCTGTGCACATCTGAAGGCGTTCATGGTCCTCAATTTCGCTAAACTACACATTGAGGAGGGAAGAGTATGCGTATTAGTGTTACAGCTACAATAAAGAATAGTTGATGCATAAACCAATGCAATCTAGCCAGAACTTCGGCGAAGAGGGTGATGCTTTGGTCGATTCTATGCGATTGTTAGATGGAGGCAGGATCCCTTGCAATTCTTCGTACAGAGGCTGCGGTCAAGGTGGGCTTGAACCCGTCATCGACAGGTGGTTCCTTCTCGGAAACAAGTAGAGTCTGACCCCGGTGCCTGTTGGATTTTCTGGGATTTTACCAGCTCACACGGGTTTGGAAATAGGCAGAGACGTTCCCGGAGGAAGTGGACTTCATTCCGAAGTAGGGTGAGTCACTTTCGACGAGCATTAAGATGGTTCTGGGCAGCGGAGAGACCGTTTCTTGCTGTATCTTTAGATTACAACATTGGTGGGAAACATCGGCAATTTCCGTCCGTAGCTGATGAGCAAGAAGCGAGTAGAAGGAAGACATTCTACGGATCCTCCGTTATCAACGACACACAATTGCCAAAACTTTCGGCCGTCACGTAAAACAGAGGGCGACCCATGTCTTGGATGAAGGTCGCAGTGGCCGAAGATTGGCCTTCAATTTGTTCAGCATTCGGCTAGGACAGAATAGCATTGCATCGCCACATTCGTGAATGGCAGCAGAAGCTGCTCACATTGGTTGGAATGACTGGCATTTAGGCAGCAGCAGACTTGAGCCCGCCTAATAACGTTACCAGTTGGCAAAAGGCGTGCACCCTCCGGGCCCAGGCAACTGTACAAAGAGCCCTGATAGGACCTCCATGCGGCCTTGACCATAAGATACTCGTGATGGGGGGTCAACCATGTGGCAAAGAAGCGAAAATGACGATGCCTTGAGGGATTTCCCCTCGGTAGCCGTGCACCTTAACCGTGCCCTGCATGTTAAGCTGAAGTCTAGCACGGCACTTTCGCTACCAGTGGAGGTGTGTCGAATCCGCGAAAGTCCGCCCGACTCCATACTCGGTCGACGCGATGCTTGGAAATCGGCACAAGTTTCCTGAGTATAAAGCAGAAAATAGAAAATAAGGAATGGCAAAACAGAAGCAACACGAAGATTCCACAGCACAAGCCACCACCACCTTACGGAATAGGCAAATTACTTCTATGTTATTACACCAAAGCACACGGGCTTTCGGAGCTGAGGGAGAGGTGTAGTGAGTATTTTACTTCGCGAATAGAGGCCACAGCCTCCTACCATTACCGTGATCTTGGGGGCGGAATCCGTGCCCGGGGACAGGCAACGCCAGCTGTTCCGTATCGCTGTAGCGACTGTAGCGAAAATATACAGGGCACGTCAACTCGCGCAATACCGTGCAAAAGTGTGGCGAATTGAACGAGAGAGAAAGATTCATGATTCCAAAGCATGTACTCGTGGATCCAGAAGTGAGTTATTTGATAGAGCGAGGACACCAATAGATATTTCCACTTAGCGGCATGTCGCTTGATCTATTGGTGTCCTCGCTCTATCAAAGGACTCACTTCTGGAATCCACGAGTATTTTCATAAATTTCCTAGACTCAATCAGAGTCATGTGAAGGCGTCTACCCACGGAGGGATCGGCGGTTCAAGTCTCACGGTTGCTCCAGCGTCAATCATAGGCTGAAAGCCAGCGATGTGGCATGGATGTGTTTGCGAATGTGACGGTATCTCCAGATCGATTGGTTCGCACTACTCATCAACGTTGCAACAGACCCGCACACGCGGCCAATGCAATCTTGTCCCTTGGGAGTGGGACGGAAGGTTCGCACAATCTCGTGTTCAGGCCGCAGATGAGAGGAATCGGGTGGCTAGAGGAATGCCCCTCTGGCTGTGCCGTAGCTGGTCGATGCTAGCGTGTCAGACTAAGCGAGAAATCATGTTCTGGGTTCAAAGGTTTTGTTTCACGGTGCCTGTTTCAGCCTCACGAGGCTCACCGAGTACTGCCGAGGTTCAACAATGGACGGTCCCTATCATCGTTAATCGAAACATATATGCAGTCATCGATAGAGGCGTTGGAGTAGTGGGGTCCATATTAACCTACTTAGTCCATAGTTATTAGGGGTTTGCGTGATACTTGCTAAAGTTTGTGACTGAGTCTCTGAGTTGCGACTGGACTGTAGATCTCCATACAACAGTACCAATGTCAATCTTTAAGGTTCGTTACTTCTGTTATTTCATCACCGTTGCTACATTGTGTCGCCTTTACTTGCTCTTTTCCAATTTGCCACAATTCGATAGGTAGGAATTCCATCCTTCTCCTTTCTTTGGAGGAGGGAAAATCCTGGACTTGCGTTCGGTATGTCATGATTCTATGTGGGAGTCAAGTCCGTTCGGGCATTGCGACCAGGCCGGGGGGTCCGGTGAACCCCTAAACCTTTTGAAGGACACCCCGGGGACAGCCAAAAGCACATTGATCAACCCCACTGGCGATCGGCGAAACGGACGTTTCGCAGCCCCGGAGACCCGGGGGCTGCGGCTAATGCACCCTCATTTTTAAGGCTCATGGCTCATATTTGTTTGGCTCATGATCCCTAGGAACCTCGTGGCCTCTTCAACCATCGTGCCCGGGAGTGGTCTGTGCAACCCCTGTAATGACTGAAGCTAGGCCTGCCGCCTCTCAATTTAAGGGTTGGCCTTAAGGTTCAACGCGCACTAAACCTCCCACCCATCATGATTATTATTTTGCCCATCTTTGTTTTTTGCCAACTGTGCCATCCTCGCACTCTCATTTCTCTTCCCCCCCCCCGCCCCAAACAATGACTCAAATGTACACTTCTCGCTTCACTTGCTTCTTTTAACCTCGATCGTCAGCTCCCAAATACCGCAGCAGTGTCCACGAATGTGGCACAAACACAACCTATAACATTATTACCGTCCATCCCAAATCAAACGCAGAATTTAGCGGCAACACGGGCGGCTCACTTGCTTTCCAAAAGTATGACTAGTGGCCAAAGGGACACAGCCTGGTCCGATTGTGGTTAGTGACCCATTGAGCATGTGGGCAGCTCCTACTCCGTGCAAAGTATCCCTGACAGCACATCCAGGCGTCTAAATCTTCAACGTCACCTGCTTCTCTCCTCTCCGACTCCGCTTCATAAGACTTTATATGTGACTGTGAGTGCAAGGACGGAAGTGGCTAGCTATCAATCACCAATCATCCATCAACCAACGTCTGGAGATACGTAGGTTACCCGCGCAAGCCATGGACCGGGGACTTCGCCTCACTTGAGAAATTTGCCCAAGCGGCCCCCACAATCTATACAATTCAATCTACGTATTCGACCGCAGTCCACCATCTAATAAATTCTCTTCGTATATCAATTCCCTCCTCCCCCGAGGATACGAAGAAGTAAGCAATGTTTCCCGGATCGCCAACAGATGAGAACCGTGGGCCCAGCTTACTCATTGCTGAATGGCTTACCCTGGCTTTGGCGCTTATTGCCGTCGGCTTGAGACTTCATGGCCGATGTATCTCGCTGAATATTCCGGGGTGGGACGACCATACGATACTGGCGGCCACGGTAGGTCCCATCAAGAAATGGGGTAAAGGAAAGGTGTTTACTGATGTCGATTCCAGGTCTTTGGAGTTGCACAGGCCATCATCAGCGTCATCCAAGTTGACAATCGGTTTGGGCATCATGCAGCGACTCTGACTCCTCATCAAATCTCAGCAACCATCATGTGGACGACGATCAACGGAATGCTTCAGATTCTCGGGACACTGCTTGTTCGACTTTCTTCGTGTCTCCTGGTTCTCCGAATGCCACCGGTTGGACACACGAAACAGCCGCACGCTCGAGCAATCTATATGCTCATGGCCTTCTTCCTTATCATCTCGACCGCTTCATTTTTCGTCTTGTGCTTCCAGTGCATGCCAATTCAGGGTCTGTGGGATGAATCTCTTCATGCTCGCTGCATCCCGAAGGAAACACGGGGCATGATTCAAAAAGTCTTCGGTAGTAAGTCATGGGGAGTCGAAAATACTTTTACGGGGTTTTTGCTCACCAAACACAGTCTTCGATATCGTCATCAATTTCCTGACTGCCAGTCTCCCCTTGATCTTCTTACTCAACCTCCAAACTCGTTTGAGGGAGAAGTGGGGAGTCCTGACGATCGCCTTTTTAGCCTATGGGTAAGCGGAACCATTCACTGGGGGGGGGGTTGAATGACCAGAAATCTGAATTTGCCGCTGACAAATTTGTAGCACTGCCGGCGCTTCTATTTGCAGAGTGTATTGTGAGACAGGCGGTAACGATCCAAGCTGTAGGTCATCTTGCTAGGGTCTCGTGACATAATCAAGCTAATCTAAAAATCCTAGGGGGTTTGGCTTGCGTTGAGATTTGCTTGAGCGTCGAACAGAACATCGGCACCGTCATTACCTCAATACCGACCTTGGGCGATCCGTTTCTCATCTTTCTAGATCACACCCGCACTTCTTTCCTGGGCAGGTATCTCTGGCCGAACCCACCGCTTCCCTCCTGCTGGGGGGATTCGCAAAGCGATGACATTCACCTGCAAAATGTTCCCAGCTTCCCAGACGGGCAATTTGACCCTGAATGTGACGCGGCAAGTGAGGATGCCAACTTCTGGCACGCCGTGGACTCACAGATGGGAGGGTTGAGCTTCGATGCGTGCGCTCGACCGCAGAAAGCGTATTGTCCAAGCAAGCGGAGCTCGCGACAATCTAGCAAGACTCGCTCTCGTTGGGGCAGCAGACCTACCTCTCGGTGGGGTAGCCGATCGAGCAGTCCGAACCCCAAGAAACAACACTCGACCACCTCGAAGGAAACTCCTCCTAAATCGCCCTTCCCCAAAAGCAATTCCCCGGAATCAACCACGCCGACTTCCACTCCTCCCAAATCCACCACTCCGATTTCCACTCCTCCCAAATCCAATACTGCCAGGTCCAGCAAAACCAATTCCCGAATGTACTCTCGCGGGCCCAGCGTCGACAGATCGCCCGGGAGTTCGGACAGGAGAAGCTTTCGGAGCCGGATATCCCGGACATCCTCGTGGATAAGATGGAGCTGGAGGGCAGGCGATGACCCGGGGTATGACGAGGGTGATGGACCTTGACGAATGATATGACTTTGGGATATTTACAATGGGAAAACAATAGACTGCGCTTGATGAAGGAGGAATGGCAGAAGGTAGATACACATATGGGAGGGCATGCGAAGATGTTCATCGCTACGGCGAATGCTCGCGAGGAGCTAACATCGAGGTTGCGCATGTGCCGGGGCACCATGATGGAGGTAGCCGGAAGGATTCCGCGCAAAGGATCTGGGATGCGAAAAAGCATGGGTGTGCTCTGCCAGCCTTGACCGCACGGCCGAGATGGCCATCGGAGTCGGGGAAGCCGCACCTCACACTCGTTTTATCCTCTTCGATACCCGGAATCGATACGGCGTACGGAGACAAGGAGTACATAGAGTCGTGAGACTATACCGCTCGCTTTGGAGGAAGGAAGGAAGGAAGGAAGGAAGAAAGGAAGGAAGGAAAGCAGAGCTCACGCAGATACATATCTTGTAACTAGACGCAACTCACATACCTTCAGATTCCGGACGTACCCATTCTAACATCATCGTCGAACGCGCTTCTGTCTCTCTCCTCTCCTCTCCTCCCTCCTCCCTCCTCTCTCCTCTCCTCTCCTTCCTCCTATCTATTAACTCACTCACTCACTCACTCACTCACTCACTCACTCACTCACTCACTCACTCACTCACTCACTCACTCACTCACTCACTCACCCACTCACTCCCAAGGCTCAATGAAATAGCGACGCCAACCCCGTCGCGACCCTGAATCATCCATCCCAATCCCGCCAACCGACCACCATCCACATTTTCATCCGCGACGGAGACAAAGGAGAGCAGAACGTAAGATTAGGCCGGGTGGATACGCGGCTCGAGACCCCCTTTTTGTAGTCGTGCTCGTCCTCGTCCCCGTAGCGTAGGTATGTTTGTGAGGTAGTTCTTCGAAAGTCCCAAACGCCGGTCTTCCCCCCGACATCCCCTTCTCCTGCTGAGGGGGCGTTGGTGTTTCAGACGAGGGGGGGAGATGGGGGGGGGTGATATTGCTTCAGGGGCCGCGCTGCAGTTTTGATTTGATTTGATTTGATTTTTTTTTTTGTTTTCCTTTTCTTCTTTTCCTTTTCCTTTCTGGATTTGATTTGATTTGATTTGATTTGATTTGATTTGATTTGATTTGATTTAAGGGATGGGCTCTCGGAATCGGGGGGAAAGTTTCTACGCGAGGGATGGGAGATGGTGCGCGTGTGGAGGTACGTTTTTGGCCGTCCGTTTTCTGAGGTCTCAAGCTGCGCTTTTCGCATGCGGATGCGGTCGGGAGTGTGAGGGATGGGTGTGTGGGTGCGTGCGTGCGGACATTCGGACGTATTTCGGAGATTGTGCACGTAGTTTTGTACCTATGTGTATGTGTTTGTATATCTATAGGTACGCATTGCGATAATGACGACGATGTCTAGCTGTTGCTTGCATATCCGTGTGTGTGTATGTGTGTGTGTATGAGATCTAATCTATCTATCCGTCCACAGCATCTGTGCATGCCATCGCTGCGCCGCGATGCCCTGCAGAATGCATCCACCGTGTCTGTCGACCTTTCCGCCTACGAGCTTCGCTGGAGAGGTGAGATCCGTAGGATTGAGCCATCTGCTTTACGTCGATTGAAAAGGAGACGGATAACTACGCAGCGTTTGCGGAATCGAAATGCCTTGTGCGATGCGTTGCGGTTTGGGATTGGAAGGGCAGGGTTTCATGGGTGCTTGCGGCGAGCTCTGGATTGAGAGGGTGTTGTTCGGGAGGCTTGACCTTTATTCTATCCAGTTTGGGAAGAGGCTGTTGTGGGATGGATGGAATGTTCGGCGTCCAAGGGACGCAGAGATGTATCACGGGGGGGGGACGGAGCGACCTATTGGGAGAAGGGGGGAGGGTACCTCGATGTGGACAGGTGAATGTGGTCCTGCGCACTTTATATCTTCCTCTTCCTGTCGCTGATGAGAGATTGTCGGGCATGGTGAAGGAGGTTGGAGACGGATAGGTACCGTACTTGATCTTTTATTGACGAGATCCGATGAAATGGAAGAGGAGATTGTTTCATTTCATTTGCCAATTTCGCCCCCAATGATCACCATAGTATAGTCATGCCTAGGGTGATAATAAGATCCTCTAGCTGTGGGGGCCAAGTCTGAAGAGGAGAAGAGGTCGTTTTGGAATTGGGGGCGATGGAACAAGAACAAGAGGAGCCGAGGAAGAGGATTTTCCTAAATGGTAAAGTTCTTTGCTCGCGATTGTGGCTGTATGGGTACTAGTCCTTTGCGTATACTGAGTTCACGACTAAAACAATTCATATTAATTAAAGAGACCGGCGGCATGTACTTGTTGTTTGTTAAATTGTTGGTGCTTCGTCATCTGCTTATTTATGATCATGGATGCCTTCCTCTCTGAATAATAAATTGCGCTGGGCAGTGTAATGGTCGCACTAATATTCGCAGATGTTGTTACCTATGTGAAATTCAACGCGGCTGAGCGAGCTGCGAGTCCTGCCCATACTTCATGGAGACTTTAGTCGTATGGGAACACGCTTTAAGTGTAGCGTGTTCCCATACGATTAGTTCTTAAAACTCGCGCACCGCTGTGCAAATCCAATCTGCGAGTCTTCTTTCGGAAAATTTGGCGTTACATCTCGCATGTCCAGAATTGCACCCAAATCTTGCCGATCAAGAGGGCACCTATTGGTTGCACCCAAAGGTGTCTAGTGCCGATAGAATCCAACCTGGTCATCAGACCGGCAGTGAGCCTGGATAGAGTCCTAACGAGAATGTGTATACTGGGCCCTATTCATCGGACAGGCGGTGCTACTGACGACGGCGGGAGCTCCTGTTTTCCCTATCCTGCTGGAGCACTTGGTTTTAGAGGTGAGGCTGGTAGACATGCGCACTATGGTAGGAAGACAGACATGTTCCAGCTACATGGATGATAAGATGAGAAGGAACGTTGAACATGGCGGCGAAGTGCGGACACATCAGGCTGTGCCCGTCACTACTGCAATGTCGTTGTCTCTGTTGCCGATGAAAGATACCCACGCAGACTTCGGAGTCAGAATTGCTGTTTCGAGGTAGGAAATCCAGGTCTGGGGAATAGAAGGGTATTTTTGCTCCCGAAACATGTCTTGCGACTCAATTTCATTGCCAAATAAGAAGAACTAGCGCCCGAATGTGCGTATTTGGGTCGCACGCGTCTCGTTGGTTGTTACCACCCCCGTTCGTCGAAGAAAGTCTGTGGTCAGAATGATTTCCTGGCTAATGAGGCCTTTGTTGTAGCAAGTTGAAGCGTTGAGGAAGAAACAAGGTTAGATCTTCGGCGTGTTGGCTGCGCTCTGGTGCGACAAGGACACTCATTACATCCCCGATGCGGAATGCCCTCTTCTATGACTATCCTTCCTACCCCTCACGGTTTGGGTCCAAGATCCGAGACGTACTGACAGAAGCAAATACCCAAGTTGTCACGATGTGACATGATAGCTCGCGACGAGAATCCGGCACTCTTGCGCCATCTCGACGACACGGCGACACTCTCAGCTTCGAAGATATGAGACTCGCCAAGCGATGGGACGTGTGTGCCCGCGCATAGCGGGCGGTGTAAGAAGCGAAAATTTTCTTGAAGTGGTCCATTGTGGAAACAACCAGGATCAAGAGTAAATTTCATGGTCTAAGATCATCTCACAGAAGGTTTTGCCAATGCACAATATTGTGGCCTTGCATTGGGAATCATTTAGCAGCGGCCAATGCCTGGAATTCCGTCGCTATACCTGGCAACCGGTCATTATCACGCCTGAAATCTTCCGGAAAGTGTGGAAATATGTCCCCAGCCTTGTTGTAGGGCTACCCATTACTACATCAGTAAAAAACCCAACCTCATATTATCACGGGAAGCCCATACGGGCTGCGTCAACATTCTTTGGTGTAACAGGAGGCCGCAAGTGCTTCTGTTCCTATGAAGTAGAACGGCTGTGGAGCCTACTACGTATGTAGTAGTGGTGGCTAGCCCTACACGGCGCGTACCTATCCCATAAGTCATTGCATCAATGCCAAGGGAATTTATACTGCCCACAGCATCGGATGGATCCGAACGCTCCTCTAACAGCACACTGACGAGCGGCAATGGCAAGCTGCGGTGAGAAAAAAAAAACACTGCTGAGATCGAAGCCGGCGAGCTCGCGTACTGCCGCGCTCGTTGTGGTCATTATTTCGGACGTGCCTGGTAATTCTCGAGAAAGACCGAGAAAGGGGGGTCCGGGTAGCAGCGAATGTGGGAAATTGCCGGAGCTGTCCGATTCATGTCGATACGGCGTGTCTTTCATCTGCAATAATTGTGTCTTTGCGGCATGGGCTGTGGAGTAAAAAGGGTGTCGCCTGAACACTTCTTCCGCCCGTTCGGTCGATATCTCTACCGTTATCGAGGCGAATCCCGTATCCGCCCAATCTTCAAGCTCCAGTAGTCAATGTCTCGTGTCGTTCCTGGAGACTGCTTCGGGAAAAGCGAGGTTGTTCCACGCATGATTGATGCAGGTTGTGTACTGGAACTTGCGAATGGTTCACTCTGAGTGTGTGTGTGCTTGCCAATCAATGCCACAGCTCTGCATCTGTCCTGTATAGAGAAGTTATTCAGAAGCGGTAATACCGTACATCCATGTCTGACCCTACATGCACGGTCGCCGAGAATCCGTTCGTGTTCGCTACCGATGCCAGTCACACTCGACATAAAATCTTGCATTGAGCTTAGAGGAAAGCGGCCAAAGTATGGAAGATGGTCGCGACTCTCCGCCGCCGACTCAATGGTGGCTGCTACCCTTTCGACGCAGCAGCGAGCGACGTAGGATGAATCCATGCTGGTGGAACTATCCTGGGTGGTCAGTGCCGAGCTGCACATGCCGGAGAGACTAGATATTCACCGAAGTCTCTTCAGACTCATCACGGCTTGGGGAGAAGGGCACGAAGCGCTTGATCCTGTGGATGTAGTCGCGGTAAGGGTAGAGTGGGTAGGACATTCGCCAAGCGCTGGAGTCAGTGAGCGTTAGCGTTTCGGAGGTGAAGAGATATGGGTGTCTGATGAAGAAGGATACTTCCAGCGAGGTGGCATTGCTATACGTAGAGTACGCGAGGAGCTTTCATGTCGGTATTGCTCGTCTTGTCTAGGGATCCACCCACATTGCCAGAAACACTGCCCGATCAACCCGCTATCTGCAGCCGCGACAGTCCAACCGTTTCACCACCACCTGCCGCCGACATGCTGGCTCAGCTCGCCACCCTAAATTCCGTTCCCGGGCGCTCTGCTCGATCTTCGAGTCGTCTACATGGTCCTTCTGGCCGGAGCGTTTGACACTCGCGTTCGCCAGTTTTTCATCATATTCGTCGGCGTTGGCGCGGGCGTCAACGTCTGTGTTTCTCTTCTTCGGATTCTCTTGGAGCTCGGCCGACAGCCGAAAAATTCCCTGCTAGGCATTGGAATGGTTCTGTGCAGCCCGGCTTCCCACTTGTGCGGCTGAGCCTACGGATCTGCCTCGGGGTGACCCTTTTCTGTGATTTGTTCAGCCTGTGGCCCCTTTTATTCTTTTCTCTCCTTTTTTTTTGGAGCCATACAGTCGCGGCGGACTGGACGGGTGCGCTACCACTGCTATTTGTCTGCGGTAAGGAGACTGTGGTAGATAGGAACGAGATGATCGCACAGCGAGCTTTTCGCAAGGTTCCGATGTAGTGGAGGTGCAGTGCGGAGCAATGCCTCATAGTTTCATATACATCACTGGGAAATTTCCATACACAGCCTTGACTTTCAAGTAACAGGCCGGCTTTCGTCGGCATTTTGTCAAAGAAGCCAGCGGTGTGGACAGCTGTGGGATCGCTGTCGAGGTGGAGATTTCGGACACTATGAACGTTGACATCGGGAACCGTACGTACGCGAGGGGCTAGCTGTCGAAGAAATTCTGGTCCGCATGCGCGCGCGCAACAGGCGACGGAAAGAGTGTGGACCGGAAGCACGACCGTGAAGTCTTCGCTCTGGACGGAAGGGGATGTGGAATGTATTGGTTGACTCTCTCATCAATGCAGAATCTCTCCGACTCCGTCGTCTTGCTCTTCTTCAGTGGTCGCCGGCGATGGCAAGGGTCCATGGCAAAATCTAAAATGTATCACCTCCTTCCTTCTTTATGAATTCGGTCCAAATTGCAATGATTCTGTCAGAGCTCAGCGGGACACCGTTCTATCCGCACCCTATCAATGTCCTCTTGATCCTTTCATGAAGCTAGATCTCTTCGCCCCCTGTTCACCGACTGGCATTCGAGAGCGTACGAAACGAACGCACATGTCGACAACAAAGTTTCGCTCCCGAACCTCGCTCGAGAGTTCTCCAACAGATCTTCGAGATTGGTGTCGCAGAGCCAATCGAGGGGTGTGCATTTCACACACATCGCGGGAGGAGCTATCGCTGCGGGGACTTACGGGGGATGTAGTCGTCGTCCGAAGCAGCATCGAAAGCTGGGTCTGTCGTTGATGCGTGGCTGCGGACACCGCGACTCGCGCGGTTTCTGTGCTGGAGCTCCGGAAGAGACCGCGGATCAAATCCCACACGCGTGAGATGCACTTGCGGATGGCGAAAAAGGATGTAGGAAAACATGATTTGATTTCTACGACATAGAACCATACAGGAGATCTAAGTAATAGTGTCCGTCGCTGGACCGGTTACGAACAAGGGTATTAGTGAAGAATGGCAGCGAGCGTCGATAACAGCGAATTTTTGTTGAAAGAAAGGCCCCATCAAACGCCCGCCAAGGAATGGGAAAAGGGAAGGAAAGAGAGAGAGAGAGAGAATACCCGACAAGACTCCTGTCCGCTCTATTACCACAATTTTCATTTGCCAGTCGCCCACTAAGGAAACAAAAGAATGTTCGGCAAGATACCGTTTCCACTCTATCACCGCAGTTCCAAAGACGGTTCGCCCGACCAAAGGAAAGAGAAAAGAAAAGTAAGGAATGTTCGACAAGACTCCGTTCCAATCTAGCGACCAGCACAACTCCAACTGGTAGTCCTCGCCCTCGAAGGTTGCAAAGTCGTGGCCTGAACCTCGAAGTTACGACCAGGGACCTCATTTTTCCACCGTCCGCGCCCACAAGGACCCTAGTACCTCAACTCGAGCTGCCAGTCCTCGCTCTCGGGGTCCAAACTGGTGACCTTGACGTCGATGGGGACCTCGCTCTCCATGTGCTTCACGTCCTCGTCGGTCAGGTGCTGCACGCGGCCGCCGCCGCCGCCGTCGTGCTCGTCCGTGACCCGCACCGCCATCCGGACCCGGTCCCGCTCGTCGGTGCTGAAGCCGTACTTCTGCACCACGCGCTTGATGAGCTCCTGCACCGTCAGCTCGCGCAGGAAGACGGCCCAGTAGTGGACTTCGGTTTCGGGCGCGCGCACGTAGACGCTCAGGGCTGTGGGTTGGGGAAAACACGGAGCGGGTTAGCGACGTGGAATTCTTGTTTAAAAGGGAGGTGGGGTGGGGTCGGTGCTGGGGTGGGGGGGGGGAAGGGGCAAGGATAGTGGTGGCTTTCTTACCCGGCGCCCTGTTGGGAGACGGCGTTCGAGCGCGCTGGTAGGAAGGGTCGACGTCGAGGACCTGGATCCATCGCGCAGGCCTGTTGTTGACCAGGAAGTTCTGCGAGGCGCCTAGCTGGACGAGCATCGGGGTTGGGCTGCCGGGATGGAGGGGGGTTTGGTCTTGCTGCATCATTTCATAGCCGGTGGGGCCGGGCAATTGTCCTGGTGGGAGGGCCAAGGGACCCGGGTAAGGTGGGTATGGGGCATACTGCGGTGCGGGATAGCCTTGGGAGACTGGAACCGGGGTTGCGGTCCCGACTACCTCTCCCGGAGCTGGTTGCCCCATGAGCGATTGGTAGAGAGCCGTTTGCCTTGGAAAATATCAGCATCCCGCTCGAGATCCCGGGGCAGGATATATGTAGAAAGTTTTATTTGAGCCCAATCAATTGTAAAAGAGCACGTCGCGGGGCTTGTTGCATTGGTATACGCACCTCGCTGTAGATGAAGCCGGTCCTCGACCTCGTAAGTGAATTTCGACCGGTGAGGTCTCCCACGGGGCCGTACTTGGGTCAGTAGGCGTAGGTGCGGACGGTGGCTGTGATACATATTGGAAAGGAAGCGGCGCTCTGGCTTGCATGACAGAACGTCCCACCCTTGGGTCCACGTATGCCGGCGATGGGTCTCTCCTAAAGCAGCATGAGATTTGTCCGCCAAAGTTTTATGATGATTATCATACCACATTGGCGACAGGCCGGTCTGATTTATCTCAAACAAGGTGTCCTCCATGGCTGTCGACTCTTGATGCAGAGGTTGGTTACCGAAACCAGGACCACCAGTAAGACTTATAGATAGGTCAGCATAAGAAGATCTTGAGTTCATCTGTTGGAACGTTTACGATAAGCCTGTTCGGAATTGACCCTCCATGTCCTCATTATAATAGGCGAGAGGTCCCATCCACATCGGTACAGGTTGATTGTTCCAGGGATTGGCGGTGGGTTGCTGAGGGACTTCGCTTGCAGATGTCCCTTCGTTGGCACTGGAAAGAGTCAGCCGATATGGAAGCAGCGATGGTTGTGAGGATGATATGAAATCTCTTACCGACGTTGAGACATTTTGACTTTTGGAGTCTTGCAAGTGATGCGGTTGACGGGACTATTTAACGTTGCAAACGGAGACATATAATCCATTGACATCGCTTCGGATGCAGGCTCTCGAAGCCTAAGTAAAACAAGCAATCTGCAGAGGACTACTATGTCGTATGAGAAACGATATTACACGTACACAAGTTGTGATGAGACCGTGATGGTAGAACCTCATGGCATTGCTTTCCCCGGTTGCTGCTGGGATCTACGGTACCGATCTCACGGCATCCACTATAGACTTGCTCTTTTGAGTGAAGAAATCCTACAAGTTGGAAGCGAAAGCAGACAATCAGGTCCATCCAGCTCCGTCAAGTACTTGCACCCCGGACAATCGTCACAGTAGACCGTGTCAATCTCCACGGAAACACCTATCCGAGTAAGTTGGTTAGCGATAGTTTGGTCCGTTGAAACGTCGACACCCTCTTCCAGCGGTTAGTGCGTGTAGAAGAGCAGCCAGAGGAGCCACATCACATATGAAGAGACACATCACATGTGGCGCAGGGCCGCAACGAGCTTTCAAGTCACAATATCGTTGAAACGATGACAGATGCATGTCACTCCATTTGGCTAGTCGTGAATCTTGTACTCCACATGCTCCACAATTGACTTCTCTGGGTCTGGAAGCCGATGAAATCTTGTAATTTGAGGCGCCGAGCGATTGTGTGAGAGACTTATTAAATCGGGTCGTTCCCCAGCTCACATCTCTCTGCAGTCTTCGCACAGCTGAAGAAACCAACTTTTGGGAAAAGCTTCTGACGCGTACACAATCCAGACATGTCCTCCTTCCGAATGAGAATAAAAATACTGTAAAGGGGAATAGCGGTAGGCACAGCCTCATTCTTTGTTTTCTTTTGCAGAAAGTGTGGCTCAATCGGAAAGGTTTAACGATCGGGGGTAACTGTAAAGGGTAGGTCCAAGGGTTGCGGCTGTCGCTATAGGGCAGCAATAGCCGCCGACTCCCCTCAACCCCTGCGTATTCCTTCGAATTCTAGAACGCCTCGTGGAGCCGTGGCTGTGCTATGCAGAGAATTCACCAGTCCTTTTCCCTAAACCTTCGGACTACTTCGTTCCTCCCACCAGAGTTGTCTGGTCATGCATCGATCATATCGACGTTGCTTTCGGTGTCACCTAGCGAACGCGCAGTGACGGTAACAAACGCGCGTTGAATTTATGCCTTGAGATGTTGGCGATCTTGAACCTTGTGGGTGAGGTGTGTTTGGTGGTGTGACCGGTAAGCCCGCAATTCATCGGGTCGGACGTACAACCACAAATGATGATCGCATTAACGATTCAAGTGATGAATGAGAATGGAGAGCAAGTGTAAGAAAAAGTAGCCGGTTCAAGATTTGAAGACGTTTGCAGACCAACCAAGCGTGACCTTCAAATCGCCAAGTTGTCAAGCCTGGAGATGCGCCTGCACGTGACATTGAAAGCAGATATCTACAGCTTGTGCACAGAAGACGCCGACGGTCTCTCCGATCTGTTAACCCGTAATTGCAGAAGCCCCTGACCTAGGACTCGGGATTATCCCGAAAACTGTATCTGGGTGCATGCATCTTGTTTGCGCCTCAATTGCCACCACATGCTGCATCCCGCGGATCCACAGCTCCGATAAAAGCTCTCGCGCTCCCCCCAAATGGACTACAGCAAAATGAGCGCCCAAAGCATCACCTTCTCTCGAATCTCGGTCAACTTAGTCGCCGCTGACTCGGGCGAACGTCGACATGACGCACTACAAAAGAATGCAAGTTGCGACGATTGTATATACGTCGTACGCCTGCGACCCGAAAGGTATGATGCCACTCCAAGTTTGTTTAAGGAAGTAGTGCCAATGGGGACGGAAGTGCGCTGTGGATTGCTTGGTACAGAAAGACCGTGGGAGGAAGCCTTGAACTCCTTGGCCTCGAGGCAGAGGGACAGAGGGGCAAAAGAGCAGAAGAGCAGGGTTCTCAGGGGGTGAAGTAGCTCCTGAGCATTAGGAGGTGTACCTCGCAGCCTCACATTGAGCGTGGTGGTCATCAGGATTCGGACTGCAACATCGCGTCGCAGGCCTGTGTTTCCATGCTGGGATCGTCAAGTATTCTTCACTGCACGCTGCTCCTGTCCGGATGTACAGATTTCCTTCGCCCTGCCTGCGACAAGATTATGTCTTTTTCCGAAGGAATCTTTTCACCAGGGCCACAGGGCGGCTACCCACATGTCGGTTGCTAGCTTCACTCCAGGGTCCAATTGAGGATCCTCGTCTATGTTTTGTTCCGTCAGGGAACAAGACTCGGAGCCGCTCTAGTTGTGGGCTTGAAAATGAAGCTCTTTGCAGTCAGGCAAATGGAATTCTTCGTCCTCTAAGGTATCATGAGTGGCAGAGAGTATGTGAGGAAAGAAGTGACTGTAATATTCATGGCGTAAATAGACCTCCTGATCGATGCTGGCAACTTACTGGCAAGCCTACATCCAGATGCGGTCGATCGGGTGAGCATTATACGGCTTCAAGCTTTGTCAAGACCTCGAGCCTGCGAAGGCTGCCTGTGTATTCGCTATGGCCTTTTACTGTAGAGGCTGCTTGGAGGATTAATGTCATGAGACATTGTTTGGGATGGGCGCTTTTATCGCACTTGTAGTAAGGTAGCGGCGACTTTTTGCCCTTGGAAAGTTGGGCCCGTCTAATTAGCAGTCAGCACCGCTCTGCTTCGGAGACCAGCATCGTGTCACTTGCTCTGTCTTCTTCATTGGCTAATTCCATGCTGTACTGGTGGAATTCAGGACATAGCAGCACGAATTATGGCAGCACACACTTCCACCAGCGGACGTGGAAGGCTTCGCGTTGGTGTCTAAGACGATAGATGTATTAGCTACACCATGCTTTCAAGGCCATCGCAGACACACAGCACAGTCGGTATTCAGTTTGAGAGAGCAGAAGCTGGGACTCTGGTAGTTGGTTTCGCTGGTTTGTTTCTCAACTTTCAAGATCTGCTGTTAGCGAGCTTGACGGGCGGCTGAAAGGGAAGGAAGGGGAACAAGGTGATCCCGGGAGTCAACCGGGAGTCAACGAAACACTGTACTAGTACCGGAGACTTCTGGGTCAGAAACTCGGTCGAGAACACGATCTAACGGCGCTAGGCTCAATCAAGCTTATCTTATCGGATAAGATCCATCAATCCCAATCCCACCATTTGCTCTGCTTGATGTTCTGGGCCTTGCCGTTGTAACGAAATCATGAACATGAAATATTCGGACCAAGAAACCTGCACCGTACAGATGCATCTTGCGTCGACTCATGAGCGTTCCCATATCCTGCCTGTAGTCATCACACTGGGACTGGAGGTTAGTGGGTCACTTGACATCCCTCTGTTTCAGGCCCTTGTCAAGGACCCCTGCAAGGGGTAGGACAGGTGCCCATTACGAGCTATAATGCACCTGTTAATGGCTCTTGTGCAGCGTCTGCTGCAGAAGGGCGAATCTAGACATGGATAGGGCAGCTGTGTTTTCTTAGGATTGAACCCACAGAGGCACTAGGAGCAATCTCGCCAATGTCCAGAAACCAAGCTGTGAGAAGGCGGCAGGGTTGCTCAAGATGCAGCCTCCGCCGTTGTAGTGGACATCTGATGCTCCATGTAGGGCGAATTCTGGTGGATGCGATAATTGAAACCTGATGTCTTCCTTCACCGTCATGATGGTTGTTGATAAGGTCGTGACGAGGCAAAGGTCACGTCACCAAGTCAGAAAGTTGCAAGGCTAAGAACCAAGACTTGTTCCGCTCTATCGTTAGCCGTAAAATTTGAGCGCTGTATTCAGCCACTACGTTGAGTTTAGGGCCCCCAAACAATGGGCAAGCTATGTAGAGTCGACGTCCCCATGTGAGTAGAGGCCCTTGCGGCGTCAGACATTCTAGGGATTACCTCCCGAAACCACGTATCATCCAGGCCAATCTCACTCACTGTTCTGCGTGAACACGATAATATTTTCAGGACAAGCACCCAGAAAGTTAGAAGGTCTTTCGATATGGTTAAGCAAGCCCATATCATCATCGGTTCAGCTCATGTCATTCAAGACCAGAGGGAAGTAAGCGGCGGAAACAGACAGGCGTGTAAGAGCTGGCAAAGGTTTGTAGGCACGCCCGAATAGAGTGCGAGGTAAGAGCTATCTCGCAAACAGGTTGCTGCCTACAACCCGAAGTTCGTCTTTCCAAGCGCCTTCCACTAAATCCCAATTAACAAAGTCAACTTCGAGATCCTCAAGTATCTCATGGTTAGCTCCAAGCAAGTCACATCAAACAGCGACCTCTTTGGATGACCGAATGCCCCGCCATGAAGATTTCTTGATCTGTGGGAGTTTAGTCGCCACAGTGGGACTGGGCGATGCAGCCAAAGGCGCTGGGGAGCCGTCTAAAGATAAATACGCTTAAACAGTGTATTGTATAATCAGTACCATCACAGGGCTTCTCAAATTTAAACCCCCAAAAAGCGCGAGTGGTTCAAGCTTCATAGCTTCGAGCGTCTGCATTGATCGAATGGACGCGAGCGCGGAAACGTGATGATGTTCTCGCGAGACCTAAGAGTATAGGAAACGAGTGATAGATGCATGGTGTATGTACAATACGTATCCTTCGCAGCGGAGATGCCAAAGCAAAAACGATGCTGAGATTTGGAACGAACCGGCTGCCGCGGCGACGGCCGGTTCCGAAGGGGAAACACAGGATGCAATAACGCACGCCAGCAAGCCCGACAAACTTCAAGCCACAAACATCCTCCCGAGCACTCAGCCAGCTGACGATGATTTTGTCCCTCCACTATCCTCCCCCCCACCCAGTCTAATCTCTTCCCGCATTCCGCATACCAACTTCGATCAAGCGATCTGGTTCAACGCCGGATTGAGGTCACCAGGGCAGTTACCGTTCTGGCCCTTGACGGGCGCGGGCAGCACATATTTTTGGATTTTGCTGGAGACGCTATCATAGAACTTGATGTTGCCGCCATTGCTGGCGCCGCCGACCGCGGAGCCCGAAGCGCAGCCGCAGAGCGCTGTTAAAAAAAATGGCGTCAGCTTGTGTGTTCCCAAGAGTTGAATTCACGATCACGGTGAGAAATTAAGGGCGTCGGGTAGAGGTCCATCGATGGGGATGGTCGAAAGAAGGAACGGATTCGGAATCGCCCACTTACTGTTCGCGTAGCCCGTCCCCGCCGCCGCGTTCGGAAAACTCCTCAGATCCAACACCTTGCACACGGGCAGGTTGAAGAAGCCAGCCGTATCCTGCGTCACGGACAGCTTCGCGAGGCTAGCGGCGTCGGTGCCGGATAATTCGCCCTGGCTGACGTCCGGGTAGGCATCTGAGAGGTCGTAGTTGTAATTGCCGGCGAGCCAGGAGTTGACGGCGCCGGCGGTGACGAGGGTGATGTCGATGGGGACTGGGGTCGCGATGCCGACTTTGAAACCGCTCGTTGCGCCCATTGGATTGGTGGTGTCCAGGATTTTTCTACGGGGTACAAGATTAGCGACGTGCTGCTCAAAGCTGTGGATGCGATGGACGAGATTACGCATTGTTGGGATTGAAAACCCGAGCCATTCCCGGCCCTGGGGCGTTGCAATTGAGGAAGGGATCGGATCCCTTCCAGCCGTTGCAGTCCGAGGCGCTGACGGTACCCATCTTGTCGCTGTTTAGCATCACGGGTCCGTACGGAACGTAGACGACGAATGTGTCGGACGCGTTCCATATGTAGCTATCCCCACGTCAGCATGATGATATGGTCATGGTAGAAGTGTAGGTTGAACATTACTTGATCATCTTATACGTCACGATCTTGTCGAAATTGTCTAGCATGGTATTGACAAAGGTTGAAGAATAGGGTTTAGTAAGCCATTCTCCACCGGCCATTACTGGTTTGTTACCGCCCTCGGTAGACGTCCAGGAGGCAGCAGAGGCGTTGCCGATTGTCAATTCGTACGCGGCTTCTAGCGACGGATATGTCGCTTGGAGGTAGTTTTGAGTCCATTGATCAATATCACCTGCCCTTTTGACACAGTCAGTTGGCCCAATGCTATTGTTGGAGACGTGACAAGCACATACTCTGTGAATCTTTGATCAATGACAGGGGATGTTTTGGTAGCTTGGATCCCAGTCGCCGCGCCCATTATACTCTGGACGGATGCGACAACCGCACTTTCGGTAGCGGCCTGCATGGAGAGTTACACCGACTGTTATCGCACATGGTCAGGAGTTCTACTTACACCGATAGGTCCGAGGACAGCACTGAGTATTCCGAGGAAGGGCGTCATGGCCCCCATAATCTGGCTCCACGTGGTTGCAGGTGGCGGGTCCGTGTAGAAAGTCTGCTCGCAATTAGATCTAGTCTTATCCAGAAACACATTCGCCTACGGTTGAGATTGCTGTCGATATGCCCAAGCCGTTGTTCGACGCGGTAAGCAGTTGGCTTATCATGACCTCGAAGAAATTGTTAAGGTTGACAAAGGCATTGTATGCCAAGTAGCGTTGTATCACAAGGTTGGATCCGGAGGCCGAGTCTTTGATATCTTTACAAGCATAATCATCACAAGCTATCAAACCGTCAGCGTAAGCAAAGGCGTGATAGGCGAGATGGAGCGTCACGTGTGGTATATTGGCATTCATCTGCCGCACCGACGTCTTCTTGGAGAACCTTCGCCGCGTCGACTTGAGGTGAGAGAGAATTTGTGGCAGCAGCCGCCAATACGCTTGAGACATAGGTGTCAACCTAGGATTGTCAGCTCTGTTCATCGCGAGGACACTGCACCGCTGACCCCATAATTGGACCATTCATCCGTGTCTGTAGTTTCGATGGCCGCGTTGCTGCATAGAGAGGCTTGCGATGGGTTCGCGGCATTCTGACTGTTAGTTGCAGTAGGAGTTGGGGATGGTTGCCCAGCGTCGTCGGAACAGGGAACGCTAGCGGTGATGATCAATTCAAAGGATGAGGCAGCTCGTCTGAATTTTGCGGCACTGGTGGGTCCAGCGTTGAAAACGATGTCAACCTCGGCTACAGCATTGTCAGCTCGATGACTTGAGAAAGACTAGGTCAGTGGTAGTCATGCTGAGTACTTACAAACACCACTGGCAGCAGAGAATGTCCATTTGGTGCTGCTGTCATCGAGACTCACAGCTTTTGAGTCTATAGCAGGTGTGTCTGGACCATCGTTTGCTGCTAGGTCACTGAAGAGAACACCACTTGTATCTGTGTCGAATACCCATTCAGCCCCAACCTGATTCCAGAAATCTCCGGCCGGTATCCGCTGTGCGCCTGTGGCAAGGCTGATGGAGCTGGCGAATGTTGCCGAACCAGATAGACCCTGGCCAACGCAGGCACTGGTGGGTATTGGTGCGAGTGTTATTTGGGCTTCGGCGTAACCTCGGAGGACGAGGAGGAAGCCGCCGAGTGTTTGAGGTGACGGAGTCCTCATGTCGTTAGGTCTCGTGTGCGTAGGGTTCTGCAAACGTCTTTCTATTGAAGGCTATGGTTCTTTTCGCAGCCTAGAGTAGTAGATTGCGGCGAACTGATTCAGTAAGCAAGAAGCTCCGGACCGTTTGTTGTAGCCAGAATGAGGATGTCTGGAGGGTTCGGCGGCACGTTCTTCAAGATACTGGTGAAAGACCGGAGGCGGAATGGAGTTTGATGAGAGGACGTGTTTGTTCCAGCAGAGGAACTTGTGGGTGATATAGTCTCTCACGTTGGAGTCATCTCGGTAGAAAATGCAACAGTCAACATAGCAGTACCGGTGGGGTTCTCCATTACCATTGGATTCGGAAACCGTTGGTGTTTACAATTCATTACTTTTACAGCCAGGATCTGTGAAGATTCGGAGCCTAGCGATTTCGTCGCCATCTTTTGGCATCAGTAAGAGAAGTCGAGATCCTATTACAGCGAGATTTGAACAGCTAAAACTGAGGCTCCTAGACCGGCGTATCGTTAACTCGTGTATGAAACGTGCAAGAAGGTCCTGATGTACGCTTGCTTCATGTGCTGTTAGTCAAGGCAAAGAGGTCATGGGTTTCAAATGCAACCCGATGCTGGCTCGACATGGACGATTGGAGGATGTGTTGACTTTTACAAAGAGGCACTGCAAGAAGTGACGCAGAAGTGCTGGCGTTTGAGCCCAGGGAGCGGGTCTGAAGCCATCCTGCCAGCGATGTCGTAATTGAAGCCGATGGACCCTTGCGGCGTACGGAGATAAAGGCGGCCACGAAGTGGCACGACCAACGACGAGGTATCAGGTAGTCATTCTGGCACACTATGCCACAGTTGGGTTAATTCGTAGCCTATAGGATGAGGGGCTGATGCAGTCATGCGAAAGCTGTACCACGGTACTTAGTCGTGACCGAGGTGGGGGAATGCCGGGAAAAGTTAGGATATGAAGCGAATGAGAAAAAATAGACTCTAGTATTGTAGACGAATGCTCTGGGCAAGGCACGTTTACAGTTTATGAAGGCAGTGAATTTCGCTACCAGACTTGAGGTCCATCAGACTCGAACTCTGTGGGATGAATACTGTTCTGGACTGCTAAGGAACGGTAGTTGGGCCTCGCTGCAACCGTTACAGATGGCAAACCCACGGCGCAATGTCCGATTAAGTGACTGATCTGCTAAAACCCAGTGCGTGGGACGACCCCACCCCCCTTAATGGTATCTGCTAAAACCCAGTGCGTGGGACGATTACCGGCATGTGATATCTGAGGTGGCGAGTTGGTCGTGCTTAGGTCACCCCTTGATACGCAGGGGAAGCTGGGCGGGTTGGCTGGTAAGGGAGTATCCCATCGTCTGGCAGGGGGTAAAATTCAGGGGTTCCGACCGAACATCAAAAAATACCCCCATAGCATGTTAGTGTAATTCAATAACGCCTGCTTTCACAACAAAATACTTAGTGTCGCGATTAATCTTTATAAGTAGATCTAAGATTCTATAATAGAAAATAAGTCTGTGATTCTTGTCGTTCAAAAGTCGTTGTGTGATGAACATACAGATATTTGATGTTCTGCCAAGACATTTTACCCCCAGGCGCCAGACGATGGGATAACCCTCGCCTGGGGCCGATTACACACGTGGTGCAGAAGCGACGAATCATAGTCATGGAGGGAAAAGGAGATGCAGTCAGGGACTGACGGTGGGGTTGGAGTAGAGTTAGATTGATAGGTTCGGTAAGGTTAAGGTAGTCCCATAGTGTATGGACTTGATCTGAAACTGCCACATGTGCCGCAAAAAGATGGCGCATGCGGACTCAGTTGCGATCAGCTAAGCATCCGTACCCGGTATTCAAAGCGAACCTAGACCACATGGCCGCAGTCTCGGAAGCGACTGTGCTGAGACTTCTCGATACTGGTCCTTCTACTCGATTATGAAGAGTCTCCTGGACATTCTGCTCTGACCGTTCCCTATATATGCTCCTAGGTAGGAATTGGAAAGGATCCCCTTGAAAGATCCCCTGTCTTTGATGCGTTCATTAGATTGATTGAGGTCTCGGTAACGCCTCTTCGAAATTGTTGTCCTTGTATTCAGATGGCTAAATTATGACCACGACCTTAGAAGAGACTGATTCAAACGCTTAGACACTTTTTGCTCCCATGACGTAGCAAAAGATGGCGCTAGTGTCTCGCATTTGCGTAGCGTACGGCGGCTAGCTTATTTGCCCTAGCAATAGCCTCAGTGTTTGCATCAGATCTGTTTTGTGTGCTTGCCTTGTACTAGTACTTGTCAGCGCCAAGATATCCTGTAGAGCAGATTTGATTGGCAAAGAGGAGTTAATGTGTACGAGACGGCCATGACCAAACGGAGGGGGAAGATGATGAGCTGTGCCCGATCACAGTCCGGAAAAGTACTTTTGACCCTCTTTCTATGTTGTAGCTCCGGATATTTCCACCAATCAAGCCATCTGTCCACGATTTCGTTGGTAGCCAGTGATAGATGGACTATAATCCGGAACGAAGGATCTTGCGGCTGGCTGGTATTGCTGTCGAGGTTCAGAATTGCGAATTGCTAGCTCGCGTGTGGCATCTTCGGAATCCCGAATTCCTCGACCATTGCAAGCTCGAAAGTGAAGGGCTCCATTAGTTACCCCGCTGTCTCCGGGAGTTGAGTCGCCACTATATGATGCACGAGACGAAAAAAGAGAGCGAGGTATCATCTTACCCGCTGAGACATAAATGTAACATACCGTACTTTGTTGTTCGAGGTCATCGGAGCGCCAACTCGGGCTAAGTCATATCAATGATCTGAGGGTGTGCAGCTAATCTATCTCCTCTGCTCAGGGACCTTCAATGGCATCATTTCGCATATTGGCAAGGGTCCGCGAGTCGAAAGCGGCGGTAATCATATGGTAAGGTAGTCCTTGCAGCAGGCCGATAGTCATGGAGGGTCCTTGTGTCTTTGTGTTAGAGAGAGCTAGAAAGAGGAGGAAGATGCATGAATGACTGTGCGGATATGTTGCCTGAGTTAGCGTCGTCGCAAAGATCAGCTAGACCTCGAATGGTTAACGTATGTGTGGCGAAATCTTCGTCTGCCAAACCTCAAATACTACTCTACTCTACTTTACAAGTCCACTTCATTCGACAAAAGCTCTCAAGCATCAGAAATTCGAGGAAACTAATCGTAGGTTCGCTTACAGCCAACTTTTGAATACCTCACATTTTCCATGGAGATAGATTCGAAATACATCAACATACAAGTATACAAGAGATCTTGGCGCCAAGGAAATTATGCCGCCTCCGTCGGTCCGATGTCCCGCCGTCTCACATTTGTCTCCGCCTTTTTCTCTTTGACATATGATGCTCACACTGCAAAGACCGCAGTGCAGTCCTCTTCGCGTGAGTGTATAAACATATCATATTGGAGGGATCGAATCAGATGCCAACAAACTTATCAAAGTTGAATTGTCGATTTAGGCGGCAGCTCTCGCATTGTCAGTCGTCTTAGACTCCTCATACTGCTCGTAGTACAAAACGATCAATCAGAAGCCATAACAAAGATGCTCTTCTACTTGGTCTGCCTCGCTCTTCTACCCGCAATCGGACTTGGTGCTCGGCAAGTCCCTTTGACCGACTCGACATCTTCTCCATTCACAGCAAGCTTCGATAAGCTGGTTAGCGAGAATTTGGACCGTTGGCATACTCCAGGACTAGCCATGGCTGTCATACAGGGCGATGACACTTTCAGCAAAGTATGAGTTTCTCTGTGAAAAGCTGTTGGCGGCTCAATGCGAGCCAGACAGGAATGAATGTGCCTCGAAGCTGGATCCCTAGCAGCACGTAGTACTTGTCTGGGCGGGTTTGGAGTTGAAATTTCGAACAACTCATAATGTATTAAGCACAAGACCAGTCCTCCCAAAATAATCTCACGTGCAATCTGGAGCGGTTTTACTCCTTGTCCATGCAAGTATAGTATCGATCTTCGAGCGCTCGAAGCGAACACCCGCACGCTTGCCGGCATATTTCATGCTTCTACGCGTTTGACTTTGACCGATATCTAGCGGCGCTTTCGCAATATTGCAATCTGTCTAGTCCTCCTTTGTACATAGTCTTGCATGTGTTTTTGGACTTCAGCGAACTTAACCTATGCCTACAGAAACGTGGACAAGCTGACCATCACAGGGCTACGGCATTGCAACATTCCCAGACAAGCCTATCACGCCAGAAACCCTCTTCTATACCGCCTCTACTACAAAGTCTTTCACTGCAGCCGCCGTCTCCCTACTCATTGACGACTCCGTCAACACCAGCGAAAGCCTGTTTTGGCAGGTACCACTCGAAAAGGTGGTGCGCGAGGACTTCGTACTACCCGACGATTATGCCACCTCTCACGTCACGATCGAAGACGCTCTCTCCCACCGCACTGGGATGCCCCGCCATGATCTAAGCTACGGCGGACTTAACGTCACAGTGCGGGACGTCGTTCGGAATCTTCGCCAGTTACCGATGACTGCAGAAATTCGGACGAGGTTCCAGTATTGCAATATGATGTATATCGCAATCTCACATTTCATTGAGACATGGACTGGCATGTGGCTTGGCGATTTCCTCAGAACACGAATCTATGAGCCATTGCGCATGTCCAGCACTTTCTTCTCACTTTCAGACGCCCAAAAATCGGCAGCTTCTGGTGGACCGTCCCTAGCCACTCCACACTACTGGACCAACAAGACCAAAATCTATCACAGTATCCCTTGGCTCGATGCCCCACAGGAGTCTGGATGCGGCGCAACCATTTCCAACGTACTCGACTACACCAAGTGGATACGCTGCATGATGACGATGTCCGCTCCGCTATCACCGGCTGGACATCGCGCCCTTCGCTCGCCTCGGATCATCAGCGGTCCAGTAGCAGAGGAACCGACTGGCTTTAGAGGGTCCGAAGCTTACGCCTTAGGTTGGGATGTCAGCAACTACCGTGGTGAAGTGTTGATGTGGCATACAGGAGGCTTACCGGGCTTCAGCAGCGTAATGATGTACTTCCCACGCCTACAATGGGGTGTTACGATGATGGCCAATGGCGGAACGGGCGGTGCGATTCAGAACTTGGTCTTCAAGTTGATCGACGATATGTTGGAAATTCCGGAGCGAGAAAGATTTGATTGGGCCCCCTTGTTGGAACTCAATGAGTCACTTGAGTTGGAAACATTGAAGAACGCGAAAAACCTCTTGTTTCCGAGTGCGCCTAAAGGCAAAGACTCCATACCTCTCTCTTTACCTCTACATTCCTACGCAGGCGTATGACTCCATCTGGACTCCCGTTCCGTACTCAATACCCGCTGACGCGCGAACAGACCTACATAAACGAAGGCTATCCCGCCCTCACCCTCACCATCAACGGCACCAACCCCTCCCACAGAGCCTCTCAACCCCAAGAAACCCTCCATTGCTTGATCCAATATGAACAATACCCAATCTCCATGTCTTTCCAGCACGTCAGCGGCGAGTACTTCGCGATCTACATCCGCTCTTTCAGCACTGAGACACGAATCGAGCCAGGCGATCACGAAATTACGACCGATGGCCTCTCCAAAGCCGAATTCCGACTTGGCGAAGACGGCCAAGTGAATGAATTGGGGGTATTGCTGGAAGCGGAGATGGGGGAGGCGAAGATTTGGTTCAAGAAAGCAGGAATCGAGAACAGTGATGGGTATGAAATGTATTTCAAAGCCGGTTCATCCGCGGTCAGGACGGAGAACAACCTGGGCGCGAGCGGCGCTGGAGGGCAGATGAAGCTGTTTTCGAGGTCTGGGAAGGGTTTGGCGCCTCTTTTTGCGTAAGTTATCATGTCCTTTGGAGCTCGATCTAGATATTGCCAAAAAGATCTGTGTCCGCTAATCTAAGCCTCAGGAAACACGCTTGAGCGTGAAGAGGAGGCTTGGGAGACACGTGGGCATCCAAGTGACGAAAGGGGTACGAAGGAGAGATTTGAGCCTGCACGGAAGGTGTGTTTCATTGTGGAGGCGGTGGGAACGGATTTCGTTTGTGGGGAAATCCATGTGGAGAAAGTTGACAGTGTGCTTATTATTCGCGCAAAAAATACCTGGGCTCATGGACGCATGTCGGCTCTCGAAAAATGTCTGACGATTCAAGGAAGGTCATGCGAGACGGACGCATGTTTTCATCAAGAGGGTTACGCTGCTGGCCTCGCAGTAGATAATGCGATGAAATGCTTTATTAGCTATGAAGATACCCGTTCTGAGGCTTTGGCCGGTAGAGAGGTGAGATTCGAAGCGCAGTCCGCCGGCCTGGGTGACAAACCCCGGGATGTCGATGGTCAAAACGCGGCTCCGTCAATTAAGCCAATATGTATCATGGCCAATCTCTCCCCCGCGACCTTTTTTGCCTTTCTCTTTCCTTCCCCCCCGTGTTCAGATGCGTCTTGACTTTGTATTTACCCCGGACATACTCACTTGTCGTCTTTCTTAATTAGAGGCCGACATGTATTCATCTTCATCTCCAGTCCCTTCCCAACCCATCAACCTCCTAACCTTTCTACTCGGCCTGCCCTCGCCCACATCATCTCATTTCCCCGTTCCCCCAATCTGCACTGGTTTTCCACCTCGATCCCCTGCATCGTTTCCGCCTTTTCATTCGAAGTCGACTTTTACACCTACGCTGACGTCAAGCGCCTTGTCAAAGCATTCGCATACGGACTTCGACCGTTTGGGGTTTATCCAAGAGACCGTGTGTTGGTGAATTCGCCCCAACACATCCATGCACCTATTATCCGGCATGGAACAATAGCTGCGAGGGCGATGTTGGTTGGAAGAGCACCGTACTTCGCAGCCGAGCAAAAAGCCATGCTGTTTTATGAAGGCCTCGGAGAGATTGGGGTTCCGGCGGCGACGTTGTCTGGAATGGAGGAGGCGAAAGTCGACGACTTCGGTGAAGATCTGAAATAGGGTGGTATGCGGTCTGGCTCCAAGTCAGCTTCTTTGACGGAGTTGATGGACGAGCGACCAGGATTGGATCATAGTGGAATGAGCACGGAATGAAAGAAGATATGAATATCACACTCACAATCGATTACATCTTGAGATATTTTCACCGAAATACTTTCATCATCTTTGAATTCACCGGTCTTACCCTTCGACAGCCCAATCCTCCCCCAAAGACGTCGAAGTGACTCACAAGAACTTCCTCCACGCAGGCACAGCTGACGTCCCCTCTGCCTCCATAGCCTCTCAAACCCGACGGGAGCGCTCCTTCCACGACTTCAGTACCGTGCTGATTGGCGCTCACTTCTGGCTCCTGAATACCCTTCACGCGCGCACCTCAAAATGACGATCCACTAATTTTCCCGTCTCGCTCCTACAAACTAGGCTCGGCTGTATAACCAAGCGTCGCAGCGACGTCGTCTGCGCTACCGAGCAAGCGCTCGACGGTTCGCATATATGCTACCTTTACCTTCGACGAGCCAACGCCTGCATCCCGTCAAGGCGATCCATACAGGGTCGCAGATTGTCTCCAGGCAGACGCCCGTCGCTGTCAAGATTCTCTGCGGCCGTTATAGTGTCGTGAGAGTCATTTACGGTATGACCGAAACAACGTGCTGGGCTCTTCTGCGAGACCGGCGACTCCCCTGGGCGCCAGTACTAGCGCTGACCTTCCATCCCCCTACGCTCAAGCTGGTATCGTCTCAAATGATGGCTGTGTGCTGATTGGCGGTGTTTCGGGAACCGGGAAGCAGTCTGACGCTTATGACAGCGGTACTGGCGCAATCCGGGATAGACATTTCGGCTCTCGCTTCGCCTATAAGGCTGGAAGGTCGTCTAAAAGCACTTTGTAAGATGACAGCAGATAAAATGATGTAAGATGAACGCGACATAAGGAGGGAATGCAGGCTTTGGTTGGACTCGAATCAATGAGATAATTTCCTTTCCTAGTAAGGAAGTAATACGATGATCTAGATCCATTAAATGCTACAAAGTAGGCTCCTGTTCATCCAACAGGCAGGAAAGAACGAAGCCAATAATTTCGACAGACTGGGGAAACCATTTACTTCAAAGACACTTGTCGATGATACACCGTATCGGTTGCTGCTGCTGCATTTGCAAGGCAGACCACTCACTTGCTTATGCCGAGGCACTTTCCGCAGGGTAGATAAGTGATGCGTGCGTTTGAACTTCTGATGGCATGGACAATGGAGGGTGGAATCCACCGGCACCTGCCGCGATCTATGAAATATAACGAATCAGAGTAGAGTACAAAGTACATGAAGTATGCGCGCCGCCACGTGACCAATCGCAAAATCCGCGCCGTGCCGGTTGGACGTTTTTGTCTTTCTGCACGCTTCCCACTACTCCTTGAAGCTCTAGACCCTGTCGGCTTTTTTCCAGATACGGCAACGATAAGATATTGCGTATTACCAACTGCAGCTCTAACCGAAATGTTCCCCCTCGGAGGATTCGACTGCTGATCTGACAGAGCATTCGTATGGGGCGGTCAGATGGCCATGGTCGATACTTTGCAGATGAGGCTGTCATCTCGAGCTGAAACTGTGAAATGTTCCGTCGAAGACTCCCAGCTATGTCGTAATGCGGCGTTTGATGCTGAAATGGTCGGCTCCCTCGGCTTTCAGATCAAAAGCGCCGTCTAATGCAAATATCTGTTGTCGTCAAACATTGTTGAGTTCCTCGATCTCGAACAGACCCTTCAAATTGTAGCATCGTGAAATTGCTGCTCTTCGAGATTGATCATTCACGCTGTAAAGGATGGCAACCCCATCGCCTCCGGTGCAGGACAGTAATCTTCGAGGAATGACTGTGTCCTCGATCTCCTTGGTGACCTTTGCTACCGGTGCAAACCTTGTCTTCCTTCGCATGTACGTTCGCATGAAACGCCGTATCACCGGCTGGGATGACTATACCATCTGCGTTGCTTTGGTGATTCTTCCCTCTGATTCACACAATACGAAGCTCGGTCTTGCTCACTGGACCCAGACCCTATCTCTTTTAGGCACGGTCGCCAACGTTTACCAAGTTGCCAATGGCGCTGGCCGGCATATCGATACCTTGACGCCCGTACAATTGTCTGAGTTCATCAAGTGGACCTTTGTTCAAGGAATCGAATTTGTGATCGGCACTTGCTTTGTCAAGATCTCCGTGTGTATCTCTATTCTACGCTTCATCAGCAAAACTCGACATCTTGTGCGCTACTTCATCTATGTCATTATGGGGTTTTTGATCATCTCGACCCTCGGTCTGGTCGTTGCCTTGCTGGCTCAGTGCAGACCGTTAAGGGCACTTTACGACCTCGACATCAAAGGAAAATGCTATTCGGAAAACGTCTCGACCTCTATCGCATACGTGCAGGCCGGTGAATACTCCCCCCTGCCCCTTTGTGATATTTCTGACGTTATTCCAGCTATCAATATATTCACGGACTTTACGTGCGCCGGCCTACCTGCCTTGATTATACGAAGACTCCAGATAAACAGATCGTTAAAGATAGGACTTTCAGTAGTCATGGGACTCGGGGTCGTGTAAGCCTATGGCACTCCATCTAAGACTTTGCGTGCTCAGGCGGCGTCTGTGATGCTGATCAGCGCGACTCAAGTACTGCATCTTTCTCGATCCTCCGCATTGCCTTTTTGCATACGAATTCGTCCGCGGATGTCACTCGTAAGTTCTTTCATACCTCGAGAGCCCCCACACAAGCTCTGACAGTCACTCCAGATGCAGACGCAGTCAACATGGTGTTCGCCGTGTGAGTCCTAGCAAGATTATCTACGAAATCTCATGGGGCTGAAAGAAAGACAGGCTCGAACAGAATCTCGGAATCATCGCTGCCTCGATTGCTACCGTACGACCGTTGTTTGCGAATCTAGGACCAATTGTCCAAGTTTCTTCCGAGACGGTCCCAGGGCCATATGCCTCCGATCGGCCCTTTTTGGGGTACTCGAACGTTCCAGGGGCTGGTGGGATCCCGAAAAGCATCGCACTGAGCCCTATGCGTATTACCCAAGCGACAAACGTTGATCAATTGAGAAAGTGTGAAGGACCGTCAGGGGCAAATGTTGATATCATGCGGGAATATCAAGAGCCATCAAAGGAAGAAGCTCCGAGTGAGAGCGTCTGAGAGGAGGGTGGTCTTTGCGAAGGATCTCACCTTGATTCGCATGAGGGAAAATGTTTCCCGGCGATCAGATTCCTAGGAGGCGTAGGGTAGCTGGGCGATATGCGGTGAGTAAGTAGCCTTGGTATTGAAATCTATAATGTACAATGCGCTGTACTTTAGGGCTATCTTCTAACAGACTGATGGTCGTAAGGATTGAGGGTGCCCTGTTGAAGCATGAGACCACCATGTCATGATGTCAAGATACTACGATGTAATCAAGCACGCTGTGGTGCTTCAATCAGATGTCGTAGTCCATGACTTTACGAGCCATAGACCTTTTGGACAACTCTTTGTTGTACAGCGTAGGATCCTAGAACATAACCCGGAATCGAAAGCTCACGCCTATCTTGACCTTACTCACGAGCAGAGAACATGTCTATGGAGGAGGAGCAAAACTTTCCTGTTGGAGATACGTGGGCAAATGCCTTGTGGGGGAACTTATTTTTGAAGATCAGGACCTTGGCTGCCGACTGGGAACCACCGGATGATTCGTCCAATGAAAGTTCGGATCGAATATCCCTGTATCATATTGGTCGCCGAAAGCATCTCTTCCCGCGTTTGACCGGACGGTAGAGTGTCATGGACTCGCTTGTGTTAACGGCAGACCAGGTGGAAGCGTTACACTAATTTGGATTTCGAGTCCTATTGCCTGACATATTATGATTGGGATACTGGCAACATCATGACTGATATTCAGCCAGGAAGGGTATTAAAGGTCACCGGTAATCAGATTAGAACCTGGTCATGTTCGCCGGTATTTTACAAACCGTAAAGGGGAATATGATACTGGCTGAATGCTAATAGTGAAGACGAGATGAAGATTTATTCTGACCTTAGAGCGAAGGAGTAGCTGGAGCTCAAGAGACTTTCGACAGCGTCTGCTAGTCTCGATCTCACGTGATATGCCTACCGCTTGGCAAGGCATTTGTACCGTTTCACGATGTACGGAATTCTACTGCCGAGTTCTGGAGCAACGCAGAGGAGGTTCTGGTGGAGGGAGCTGCGATCGAGCGGGCGGAGATTCAACAAGCTGCGAATCAGGATTTGGAAGCAGAAGTGTATGTAAGTGAGGAAAGATGAGAACGGCTATAGTGACGAAGATGACCACGCTATCGACGAAGAGGGGATCCTTCATTGCTAGCTGCTCTATTTGTCCGCTCGATTTTCTTGCGTTTTGTAGCTTAACAGCCTATTGCCGGTCCTGGCTATTCCGGCTGTGTCAATAAGCTCTAAGATATATCATGGAACATTCCAAACCCTATACAAGCATGATCAGTTGTAACCCCTGGGCAGTGCGGTGAGATAACCAGAGTATGTTGATATTCTGGGTTCTCACTTAAAGACCTTATATTCCCTGAGACAGTCACCCCTGCTCATGCCCATAGATACCCTACCGCCCCGGTAAATGTCCACCCGACACCCAATGACACAAGTAAACGCCTCAGATCATTGCTCTTCCTAATTCCCTCATTGAAGCCAGTGACAAAGGGTACCTGAGCCTTCGCCTTCCAGAACCCCGTGATGTGCATGTACGCAGCCGCCGTGGTAGCGATGTTGGCTAACGCTACGATTGGCGAGACATTGGGATTGAAAAATAGCACAACGGAGCTTATGAGGGAGAGCGCTATCTACACAAGATTATCAATCTCGGCGTTAGTGCTAGTCATAGAAATTTGAGACCGTGATCGGCCTTGCGATTACGACAACAAGGACAAACGTCTCGGCAATGGGCAAGCACAAGTCTTTTCAGCCAAAGAGAGGAAAGAATAAAGGTCGTGTAGGACCTGCGGAAGAGACGTTGGGATACATACTGCGGCGGCCCCACTTGCTTGGGTGACTCGAGTCTTGTACAGATCGTGCGCTGCCTTGTCAAGGTGCTTTGCAGCCCTTTCCGTGCGCTCTTCGTACTGTTGGAGATTGGTGATGGCAATGTATGACTTTTGGGCTGCGTAGAGGGACAAGAGTGCCAGGAGAGGCGTAAGGAATGTGGTTGGAAGGAGTGCCATACTGAGCTCTGGTCAATTGTTGGGCAGGAGAAGAGTGTTGATGATAGAACTCCTTGAATGTGTAGGATAGGACCGAAGATGGAGAAAAAGCAACAACGGATTTGTTTCTCTTGCCAGATGTTAGAATAGGTACAGAAACCCCCGGGTTTTTGAGCTAGTGCAAAGAGATTCGATTACGTAAGCAGGTGAGCAACACGCTAGTGTTGGAACTACTTCGGCGACTTCCGGCAAACCTTCCGTCGGCTTCTCTACCTTTTCTTCCCAGGATCACCAGTCACTCCACCAACTCTTCCGATTCTTCTCTACTACAACGTCCCTATTGATGCAGACGGGTGTCAAAAAGTGGTCGTTGCAGGATATCCATGTTGACTGACTACCTGTTCCTCAGGCCGCCCTGTCCCGTATCCTACACACCTTATCATCTTGTGCAACTTTGGAACTGTTGCCGACACGCGTTCGCCCTCAGGAATGGGCCTCACATGTGTAAAATCGCATGCCTATGAGATTCAAGCTATAAGGAGTAGTGACTCCATTCCTGGGATTAAGCCAGAGAGGTCTCCCATGGACAAGGAAGGAGAGCAGAATAAAGAGCGAGGGAAACACTGAAAGAGCATTGAGGCTGGCGAGCCGGGATCCTGGGGCAAAAGCTGCGTGTAAAATGGGAGTCGGGAAACCAGCGAGGGTACCGACTGGGGAGACGTCGTAACAATGGTACGGTCGCTTGCACTGGCTCTCCTCAGAAAGACGAGCTTTGATTGTGCAGACTAACACGATCATAGACGTGCACTCGTCCTTTCTACAGACAGTCCTCACTGCCAAAGCCTCAGGAGAACCCGAACGTTGCCAATACGAAGAGCTTGAGTCAAGGAGAAAAGGGTACCGCAACACAATAGGCAATCACGCCAAGATCCGTCGGAACGAAATGGGGCTACACCTATGTGTCTGAGAAGACTCTCCACATACTTTCAGCCTGTTGATTGTTGCCACTGTGGTAGCATTCAATGCAACATACAACATGAGGACTAAATTTTGCTTCTTCAAGACAACTTTGATAGTTGAACAAATCCTGAACCCAGAGGTTCTGCCGATTGGCCGTATGACTTACCGCAGCATAGCCTGATTGTGCGTATCAACCAAAAGAAGTTGGCCTTCTACCTCGTCAAATCCATAGCCAAGAGAAGTCGATTCAAACAGAATACTTTACATTCACTCAAGAAGGCGATTTCATAGAGTTCAATCCGGTGCAATTGTCGCTTTTTTCTGGCTGTACACCCAGCTTGAGATTGCCTCTATACACTGGTTTTCTTTCATCCCCTTGCTTTGGAGATATTTTAAACCCCAACGAATTTCAAAATCTCGACGCGTACGCTTCTGGCGTATATCGATGAGTACGACCACACCAATTAACAAAGCAGGGTCTTTTATACTGATTCCATCCGGAAAAGTAGCACGCCAGCACGAGGCGATGCTGTGCTGTGCCACCAAGGCTGCAAGGCTATAAAAGGTCATTGCTCTCTCTTCGCATACAAGACATGAAACGAATGAGAGCAAGAGGATACGCAGTCGAGGTTGGGAGATTATTCGTTGCTAACAGAGGCCTGTGTGCCTCAAAGGTCCCATTATATTCGTCCGCCGTTGCACGCTGCTCGAAAGAGTCATACTTACTCCAGCAACAAGGGATGGCGGAATAGGACTTTGACAAAGACGCTAATGTATGTCGTCGTTGTGCATTAGGTCCTGCAGGATCCCCTAGACTTCCGGAAGCTCAGCGCGATCTTTAAGAAGCCTGTGCGGGTCCAGACTCTGACAGCCTGAAGAAGTATTAAAAGGGCGAGGCTGACACGTGGGAAGCTTTTGTCAATCCTGATCTGCTTTGCTGACCATTGGCGCGGCTCTGGGAGACTGCTTGAGCCATGCGGTCATCCTCATCATTGCACATACCATGCACCGACCAGCAACAATTGAAGGATATGAGATCTACATCTACAATGTACACATCGGGTCCACTGAAATCGAAACCCGCTTACATGCATGACCACCTCAATTTTGCTCTTCGAGCAAACACTTTCTGCCTCTTCTTTCGGTTTCCTTAGTTCTCGAAATGGTACCAACCTTACTCACTGTGCACCATTGATGTACTTCTCTCGAATGAATCAGGAGTAGGACTTCAGGACTGGGACCTGCCGCTTTTGTCCGTGTGACCGCGTTTGAACATCTCGGGATTCAGCGAACCGCCGGAGGTCAGTCCTACGAAACGGTAGTGCCTAGATTCCGTACCGTTGAGAGATCCGAAGCGCACCACATAATCCATTGTTGCCACTATGTGCCCACCTCAGCGGCTGAAAGGTAGTATTCTAATCAATGTATCAATGTATCATGTGCCTCACCTTGGTAGCGAGTGCTGACATTGCGACGGCTTTACTTTGCCTATCAGATTGATCGAAAGCGCTAAGCATACATTTAGGGTCTCGTTTCCCCGAGTCATCTTGCCCCTCAGCTTCTTTTCCTGTACTCTACACCTCGTTCCTCGCATTGCAGGCCGCAAAGTGAGTGTATTGACTGTTGTTCTGGATTGCGCTGTCGAACAATGTATCAAAGAAGCGCCAGTCCCAGCCATGGAGATGCCATGGGGATCACAGTGATTGTCATAAACAGTGTATTCCTTGGTCTTGCCGCTGTCGCTGTTGGCATGCGGTTATGGTCTAGGAAGATTCAGCGCCATGGTCTATTCTTGAATGACTATGCATCGGTGCTCTCATGGGTATGAACATAAGCCAAGTAACCTTCTTTGACCCCAGGCTGACTTTGCAGTCTTTCGCAGCTAGCCTAGTCATAACCTCAAACACAGGTTGGCTTTCCTTCTCGTCATGGGTTGCTTCTCTGACCAGAAGAAGTGATTATCCACGACGGAAGTGATAAGCATATACAATACGTAGACCCAACAAGAATACCGGACATTCTGAAGGTATGTTAAGAACGAATGAGAGACATTCTTCGCCTGTGGTCCTCACAATGCTGATATATCCTCACTAAGGCGTATCTAGCCTCAGATGTCGCGTGGGCTGCAGCAAACACGTCCATTAGGATCTCCATAGTGCATTTCTACATCACCATCTTCCGCTCGAACAGAGCATTTCTTATAGCCACGTACGCAGTAATGGTTCTCGTGGTAGCCTTCGGTATCGGGATAGTCGTCAGTGACTTCTTGACTTGCCGCCCGCTTTCCAAATACTGGGACCCTCTTCAATCAGGAATTTGCGAAAGCCCCCTCGGATCTCTTATTGCTCTCAGCGGTTGCAACGTAGCCATGGATTTGACCATCGTTCTCCTACCAATGCCGATGGTTTGGGGGCTACAGATGACCACACGGAGAAAGATTGAACTCACAATCACATTCGCTCTTGGCTTCCTGTATGTGCCCGACGTGTGCTTCCTTGCTCAGTGGAGCTAACCGCTATGTTCACAGCGTATGTATTGTTACCATTGTCCGTCTCATCCTATCTATTCACATGAACCTCGACGATTTCACCTATGGTATTACAAAGATTGCCATTGTGACGATTTTGGAACCTCTGCTGGGTATCATCATTGCTTGCTTGCCACTTTTTCCGCCCACCGTCAAAAAGATTACTGGCTATAGTAAGGAGACCAACTCGGAAACACGCAATGTCCTTTCGAGCAGCATGGCCCGGCTGCGCTTGAAGAGATCGAGAAACTCAGCTTTTCAAAGGTTCAAAGACTCCTCCCTGCTCTCGGACCTTGAACACAACAAGACTCAGATTGATGCAAGTGATGCAACCAGTAAGCCGGACTCTTTGGTCGATGGTCGCAGTCCATTTGCTGCGGTTGAAGTTCCGCCGCCACATTCTTCGATCCACATGAAACAGGAATGGGAGGTTCGATCAGATGAGGCGAAAAATCTCGATGGAAAACTGCGCACCTCAACATAACGCACTCTGAAGCCACTCCAGTGACCGAAGGACTGGCACGTGTTGATGGCTATCTCTTGAAAGTTCGAGACGGTCAAGTTTTCAGCCCGTCGGATCTCGTAGACTTCACATAGATATCTCCGAGCCTTCTATTACGCTCCACCTGCATCCTGAACTCTTCTTTTCTTTTGCAAATCCGATCGTGCTATCAGCACCAGCAGACAAGGTTCTCCTGTCAGCCTTGCCGCTCTCGTGATGATATATGGTGTACTACTATATGAAGGCAAGACACGAGGTATTGAACAACCTTCGTACAAATATTGCGTCTATCTAGAACTATGGCTGAGGACGCTGCAGCGGCTTCGTTGCCATCAACGAACATTGTCATACCTCCCTACAGCTGAAGAATCGAGTTTTGCGGGTGTAGTGGGCAGAGTGAATGGGTTGGTATACGAAACTATTCTGCACCAAGCGACGCACATTTTGGGACGGATTGGTTGCTACATAACCATGCGCAAGCTAAGCTTTCAAGCGGGAGGCTGTCGACACCAAAGTGTACCGTCACCGCACATCGTGATGAAGAAAGCGTCCAAAGCGTACCTGGAAAATGGGGTAAGGCCAGTCTGGTCATCAGCCCATTGGGCCGGTTAGCCTGCTGTACCCCCACAATCACATGCACATTCCCGGCTCCGTGGGTTTGCGTGCAACTCCTGCAGAAAGAAGCCAATGCCGCCTTTTGCCTACCGACGACGCATGTCTGTACGAACCTGAGGGTTTTTCGTACCGTATGTGCTTTCAGTCTAGAGATCTGCATATACTGCGTGCAGCGGGACTCTTCCACACGATCCTGCCCGCATATCTGGTAGATTGAACATTCTGAAGGAAGCCGAGGCATTCGGAATCCGTCGGACTCCCATCTCAGTTCATACATCTGTCACTCCTTTGGGGAACTGTAGCGAGCAATACCAGGCAGGCCGTCTTGCCCACTGTTTGGGTAGTATTACAGCCGGTGACACACTCCGTGTCATGCTTCCAGGCTAGAACAATTCGAAGCGACGCTGCCGCTTGGAGCCGTCTGTGTAGTGCTCTTAGTATGGTACTCGTACATAGGTCATCACGCATGTATATACAAGAAACCACCAAGAGATCACAATTCGGCAGAGACGTTTCTTCGTCGCTTCCAGATCCGATCCTTGAATCCGAGATCTAGGCTCCGTTAGCTTTTGAACTTCAGAACCCCGGCTATCGGCTCTGTTGCTACTATGGTCTCGACAGAACGAACGAGTCGAACGTGGGTCTCTAAATCTAGTGGATGGCCGAGGTAGGGTGGATCGGTGGTTGGTTTATCAGCTAGCGAGCCTGAGAGCTTCCGCGCGATAGGGAACATGAGTAGGAGACAGCGATGATAATGTAGTTGCCCGCCTCGTTCGTTACATTGTTATCTTTAGAGTTGCCACCATGAGCATCCAGGTTGTACTGAACGGGCGTACATGAGACTGCGGCGGAGATCTCTCCACGCTGGTGATCACGGAGCGAACGAAGTCGTGCTCAGTACTTCAGTCATACTTGGTTAGTAGCTGTTAAGCATTTGTTAGATAAGACTTCGACGTCAAAGGGTTGAAACTCGACAACAAGTATGAAGGCATGCGTATTGATAGCACTCCAATTGCAGGATCCAGTCTTGTTGGTTTGGTAAGCGGTTCCAGTAAAATCGACTGCTTCAGACTTTTGGCGGGAAGATCGTCTATGGTGTTCACGCTTCCTACGACCTCGGAGCTGCGACTTTATCCTCACTACGCTTCCCATCGTCTTTATCAGCTCAAAGAGCAGCCACTGCCGCGTGGCGTGTTGGAAACGTCTCCGAGTGGGAAAGTAGCTTTTTCAGGGTTGGCAACACTGTCAAGGGGGTAGATCAGTGATGAGCTTGTACAGCTTCAATCAATCATATTTTATCATCTTAGTACAGTCCCTCACCCAGTAGTGCCAAGAAAGAGAGATACGCAGACAGAGAGAGACAGGAGGAGAGAAGAAGAAAGTAAACATTTTCATGCCCTTACCAGGGAAAACTATGTTAGCAGCGCCTGTAGTCTCAACACCTGTCGATTTTCAGCGATCTTACATTCATCTTGCGTCTCGCGAATTCTAGGAAACGGAAAGAAAATCTGATGTCATTGTGCGTCACAGCCAATGTTCTAGAAATGACGGCGATTTTGACCTGTCAACCGAGAGGTCTGATGCAGCCTTGTAGCCTCGTCTGTCTCAGCCCCGCTGCTGCGACTCCTTCGACCACTTTCTTATCAACTCTGCCAACGTCTCACATCTATATAGACTCGAACGCCGAATACCGAAAAGTCTCTCATCTGTCCGTAGCCTTTGGACGAGCTGTCAAACGCGAGGTTTGAAGGAAGTGAAGCTATAGAAAGGCCCAGCACAGCCTGGACTTGTGGCCGGGATCGCCTTACGCCCAATCTTCTAGCACATATCTTTTGCTATTCCCGATTGCAGTGAAAGTCACTCCCTGCATAGATGCAGGGTTATCTTCTACTTGAGTTATCATAACTTACATTTGTCGTTCTTCGGCCATGGATCCGGTATCAGTTGTGGGACTTGTTGAGGGCTCCATCAGTTTGGCTGTGCAATGCGGCAGTGTTGCTAAAAGCCTGAACAGCCTCGCCGGACAATACAAGTATGCTAAGCTTACCATCTCGACCATGGTGCAGAACTTGGACATTATGCAACTCGCGTGGGATCGAATTGGAGCGTGGTCTAAAGACTTTACGCCCACAGACAACAGTGGGTTTACACATCGCCTAGAAAATTTCCTTGGCACAGGATCCATGGTTCTCGACGCACTGCAGCAAGACTTGCAGTCGTACGATGCAGCGCATACGACTTTTGCCCAGCGATCGCGGCTAGTGTGGAACGAAGGTACCTTGCAGGGCCATCAAAATCGGATTAGAGATCAAGCACAGTCAATGAGTCTTCTTCTACAGGCAATTCAACTGTGAGTTCTCAATTTTGTCGGCATTGAGACCGCATATCTTCGAGCTGTCCAGAGCCTATGATCAAAGTTTGGAAGTGCCTCTTCTTGAATGCAGCGACCACAACTGAGTATGAACCGCTAACATGACGAAGTCCTAACACGCAAGACAGAACCGACCTACTTCAGCAATCGAAGAAGCAGTTCATGAAGTCAGACGAGAGCGCATTTTCCATCGTACCTTCGGAACTGTCTTCAAGACTTTCTCTGTCCACTAATGAAAGCGGTGACCACGACAGTCTCAGGAGCTATGAGAGCATTGTTTATCACCGGCTGAGTTTCGAAGACGAATTATTCACTGCCAGAGTCTACAAAAGAAATTACAGAAATCCACGTTGGCTACGCCTGCGGAAAAAAGAGCCCGACCTTGACCATGGAACTGTCACTCCTCGAAAGGAAGACCGTCAGAGTACGAAGCTTAAAGATGCTCTGATGGCTCTGCCACCTTCCAGAGTCTTGGCCAGTGCCTTGCCGAGAGATGATGGTATCCTGGTAACCAGAACTTTCCACGTATCAACAAGCTCATCAGCCCATTACACGGAGTTCATTGAAGCTTGCTACAGAGGTGACAAGGATAGAGTAAAAATCCTGATGACAATGGATCCTGAGGAACACAGTTCCCTACCTAGCCCCCACAGATGTGACTCGCTACATCCCTGCCCAGTTCATGCCACAGTCTCCGGTGGACATGTCGAGGTCATGGAGACAATACTTCAACAACCTGGCTCCAAAATTAACGTTGCCCGGGTTCCGGGACGCGCACTGTACTGCGTAAGAGGGCCACCGCTTCACCTGGCAGTAATGAAGGGAGATCTTCCTATGGTGCAGGTTTTGTTAGAAAATGGCGCTTCTGTCAATGAGAGATGGGCGTACAGACGACAAGCAATTCATTTGGCTGCAAGTAATGGCTCTATGGCTGTTCTCGCAGCTTTAGTTGCCGCAGGCGCTGATGTTAATTGCGCGGATAAATTTGGACGCCAGCCGCTCCATTACATATCAGAATGTCAAGATCTACCTCATGTTATAGAGTACCTTGCAGAGGCTGGAGCTAATGTCAATGGACGTACCCATCAGAATAAAATCACGCCAGTACGCCTTGCTTGCAGAGAAGATCTCATTGGAAATCTCATAGCTCTTTTATCTCTGGGAGCTCTTGCAGGTGGTTCGGATCTTGACACAGCGATTATACATGGGTCACCATTGTCGGTTGAAACTCTGCTGAGGCGCGGAATAGATGCGAACTGCTGCGGGTGTGATGGGGTCACTGGTCTTCATAGTCTCGTCTTAGCATCCGATACCAATGCTCCGCGTGACGAGTCAACTGACCAAAAGGATTCTGCAGCTTCTGCTCGAACACATTGATCTTCTTGCAAAGGACCACAACGGAGACACAGTCCTCAGTCGTCTGTTTCGTCTACCGGGAATATCGGATGAAAGGATGTTGGAGTTAACAAGGCTCTTCCTAGCAAACCTTCCCGAACTCGCAGTCTTGGAGAAGACCGTTCTTATATCAATGATAGATCATCAAGATACGAAAGAGGTTGATAAGGATGCTTCAGCGAGCAGCGGGAGCCTTCAAAGCAGTGCGCCGATCGAGATGAGAAACTCTCTTGGGTTGAGGGAAATTGGGGGCGAAATGGAGGGTGAAATGGAGGGTGAAATGGAGGGTGAAATGGAGGGTGAAATGGACAGGGAAAGCCGACACTTTTAAGGCTGCATCATGGCACCTACGGTTTGGAGGCATCCAGTGGGCTCATTTTATGTTGGGTGACGAAAAAGACGAGACAGTGTATCAGGTGGGGGTGAAATTGAGGGATATTCAAATGGACGACCATAGAGATTGTACACTTCCTTTCGGTGTTGTAAGCAAATGTCTGTGATCGAGCATCTATAGCACCACTCATCTTCAGTCCCGAATGAGGACCTGTTTATGTGAACATCGGACGATGGTGAAGATACCAAAAAATGGTGAAGACACCGGCGTCTGGGTATCAGGAAAAGTGGCAGTTGAAACGGGTACGGGCTCGATCATGAATAAGAAATGATTCGGGGCTGATGCCCACCCTGTCGTAAAGGGGACAGAACTTCGAGCCCAGGACTACTGGTGCAAGCCTTCGCACTGGCTGGGGATGAGAATAATTAACCAAATACATAAACATCCAAAAGGCCCCCCCCTCACCTACTTTCACAAAATCTCCTTGAACAGTTGCAGCGCCTCCCGATTCTGCGCCAGAATGTCTCTATTCCAGATCCAGTGCATCCTGAAGCTTAATAGTTCCCTCATCTTCTCCAAGTCACTACCAACGCCCTCTGCCTTCATGCCGACTAACTGCCCCGAGTCTCGGCTGGTCGATACTACCCGTTGCGTTCTCACCCTCTTCACTTGATCGTAAACCAAAAACGCGCTCTGAGTCATGTTTGGGTCGGAGACTTCGGCGAGCAAAGTTGCTAGAACGAGGGCATCTTCAATCGCTTGACCCGCACCTTGGCCTTGGTAAGGCGTGGTCGCGTGGGCTGCATCGCCCATTATTGCGATGCGGCCTTTCGTGTAGGTCGATGCTGGGCCATGATCCCACATAGCCCAGACAGATAGTTCGTGGGTGGCTAGAAGGAGCTGTATAGAGGTCAGCATTGGAAGAAAATATGCGGCCATCAGTGGGAAAAATGAGAAAGCAGTGGGTTTGGTTCGAGGAACACTTACTTCGACGAGAGCCCGAGACGAAGCGCCCCAATCACTGAACATTCTTCTCAAGGCTTCCGGATCTGCGTGTAGAACTCACTTCTCGTATTCCCAGGCTTCTTGTTCAAAATCAAAGATAACGACGTTCAGGAGGGAGCCGCCGTCAATGGGATAGCTGAGTGAAGCCTTGCCTTTACTCTCATGGGCTACTGCTCTTCCAAACACGCTGAAACTTGAGATTGAAAGAAAGATCGGAACCCTACCTCTTCCGCACAGAAAAAAGGCATTCCCCGCAAACTCGTCCCCTAGCTTTTCCACCGCTTTGTCCATTGGTACTAGAGCCCTGTATGCAACCGACCCTGCGAAGACAGGCTTCGCAGCTTCCTTGCCCAGCAAGTGTGCACGGACAGCGCTATGAACACCATCGGCACCAATGACCGCGTTCGCGGTAGCCGTTGTACCATCTTTGAAATGAAAGATAACGGGACCGCTTTGCTTATCCTCGAGAAAACCAACGCGTTTGTTGAAGTGCGCACGTTGGGAAGGAACGATTTTGACAAGCTCGTTGAGGAAGTGCGCACGATGCACGCTTTGCTGGCCGGAAGCATTGAGTTGAGCGTGGATGAGCTCACCTTCATGTTCGCCTTCGCCCTGTAGAGGAAAGTCCACCAATTAGTCGGGTGTCCAACAACTCAAGAGGAGGTGATAGACTAACCACAACATAGTTCGCCATCGTCTTAGCATGCTTCGGCCAAATGTTGCCGGTCGCATGTTTGTCGTAAGCAGCTCTAGCCTCTGGCGCTATGAGCTCCAAAGCTTGTTGAGCATTAGGTGCGATGCCGACACCAGCGCCGATTTCCCCAGAATTTGGAGCAGCTTCATAGACTTGGACGTCGATGTGAGGGTATTTGAGCAAGGCGATGGCAGTGCAGAGGCCACCGATGCCTCCGCCGATGATCGCGACACTGAAAGGCTTGAGGGATGTGGTCGTAGATGACATGTCGTTAGGAAGTGAGTGCAAGACTTCTACCTAGGTAAGAGTAGAGAGAATGGGGAGGAGAGTAGACTATAAATGTCTGAAGAGTGTTTCCTGCGAAGCAATTGCTGGCAGGGATGTTGCGAACCTTGAATAATAATAAGAATATCCACGGCGAAGGCAGAGTATTTATACCCAGCAGTTCACTGCGAGAACACACAACTGGAATACTTGTTGAGCAATTTTTTGGCTGCTTTGGTTCACGCTGTGGACGAGTTATCTCCGACAAGTATACCAATGCCACCCGTAGCTTGAAAGTCGGCTCTAACAGCTCAGCACGAAATCCCTTGATATATGGTAAACTGCAGCGGCTCATAGAGTACATGGGGTCTAATGATATGAGCGATGCTCCAGTAAGTACTTCGGTGCGTAATAGCCTGCCGAAATGAGCGAGGCTTGCCCCAAATCCTGCAGAGATAGCGCCGGATACGGCACCTGAAGACATCTAGCGATCGAACAGCCCCTGCAGCATATGACCATCATGATTGATTACTGATTGTGGAGCCTTTGTCTCGGAACCTTCGGATGCCCGCGGGGTTTGATGAATATTTTGGCAGGGCGAATGAGTACCGGTCCAGTTCAATAAAAGGTCTCGTGGTACAGTTCCAATATAACTTCGGGATTCGAAGTAGCGAAGCGAACCGGCGTTCTTTAGCAGCTACGACACCATTCGTATTGCGGACAGAATCCGATACTTTACAGACTGGCAGAGCGACACCCGTTGCGAAATGATGCCTGTGTCATCTTGAAGACCCTAAGATCGAGGCTCTGTTCATCATGACATTTGCGCTGCAGACCGGTACCTCATCTGCGGGGGTATGTCTTGTGATTAGGTATAATCTCTTAAGCTTTATCCAGGCATGCGGAAGTCAGCGGATCTTCCTCTCATCCAACCATGATCACATTGGAAAGATAGGACGCGGACAGCATGATGACACAATGCCATTTTTCGAACTTGTCACATTATTTTTTTGTGAGTGACATCGTGACTATTGAATTCAGGATTGTTCCTCTCATTCTGGCCATTGCGCCGATGCTTTCTCTAAACCTGTCGATTATCGAGCTCGCCTACACAATCCTAGGGTCACAAAGATTAATAGCGACTGACAGAGTGTAAATTGGTTTCCATGATTGATGAAAATGAGAGCTGAACTTCGGCGAGTCGAACTGAGTAGTCAGGACAATAGGCCGGATGAGTAGTAGCTTCAAGGCTGGTCTAGATTATACTGAGTTTAGCGCTTACTCTTCCTTGAATTCAACCTTGTTCTTTCATCTGCCCATTCATTGTATCACATACAGATATACTAAGCGCTGAATAGGCATAATCGGCGCGTCGATCACCACTCTTCCTCCTTGATACAGGTTACGATTCATGCTGCATACAGCAGTAGGAATCGGGGTCTTGAGGTTATGTGACCCCGTAAGGCTACATAATACTATCCTCCTACTTGGCTAGCTCTCGAGCGGAAGCCCATTGTCCACTTTCGTGTGATCATACTTCTCGGAGACGGCTCAGAACCTCTTCTCTGCAGACGCTTGGAACGAGAACGGAGCCGCTTCGTTGAGGAATCGACCGATGAGCAGCAGGTATGTAATGTTCAAAAGACCCCTTCTGACTTGAGATCGTACGTGAGAGACCAAAGGTTCTTCTGCGAGCAATCTTCCCTAGCCTGCCACCGTTATTTGGCAAGCGGAAGGCTCTTCCTTTTCTATTCTTCAGACGTATCGCATGGATTACATATATCATTTCGGTCTTACATACCCATGCCATTGCATCGAGTCTATTGTCGGGTAACATGGCCCTTCGCAACCAGGCCCGCAAAGACGAGATTGTTTCCAAGCTTGCAGAGAAAGCGCAAGGGGTGTATGTAGCCGACAATGGATTTGGTCCGCCCAAACGCCGATTACTGAAGCTGTCAGGTTGCTATGGGTACACTTCGAGATCGCTTGCAATAGCCGAGCAAGTGTGTCGGCACTGATTGAGGTTGGAGCAGAATGGATTCGCGCTGAAGTGTTTGCCTTGGCGGGCATAAGGGCCGACTGTGAAATTGTAGAGATGTTACTGGGCAAGCTTTCCACAGCGACCGCGAAGGCAAGAGTAGCCGCCGCTGCGATGTTCAGATTGACGCTGGCAGAAGGCGCATCGAACAGGAATGAAAAAGCAGTGCGGATTCTCGGAGTCTTCGCTCGTCTCGTAGATTTTTCAATCAAGGGTAGAGATGTCGCCATGCTTCAACGTCCCTCGAATAGTCAAAGCTGCGGTGACTAGGACGCAACTGTCAATCCTGACAAGATCCGCCAAGCGAAAAGATTGCTCGCCCTGATGGCATCGAAATCAAGATGTTCGCGCCGTACGGCGTTAAGAAAAGAGGCGTGACTCCGTGGCTGGAGTAGTCCCTCAATCACATTTTGCGGCCTACACTTTGGGATAGCCCATCTTTTTCATGCTTCACAACATATAAGAATCCTGAGGGACTTGAGCTATAGAATGTGGAGGAGACATGAAATTCTTGAAATCAAACCGGGGTTAGCTCTAAACAACGAAGCCGATTTGAGCAGAACGTTGATCTAAGGGCGAATTTGTTTCGCTTGTTCTTCGGTGCCACGACTCAGCAGGTACGAAAATAGAGTGCGACCTGGGAATTCAGAGCATACCCGCAACCAGTAAGGATGACGAAACTCTTTTGCCAATTTTGAACCTGTGCAGTCTCTTCGTCGGTCATTGCTTTGTTGATTATTTCTCATCAACCTCACTGTTTGAAGGACAGATTGAAATATTCTGGACGTACCTTTGATGGAGAACATCCAGCTGAGATAGCCAGGCGTTTCTGACGGTTTAATTCCATCACACGCACGCCATTCAAGATTGGATACCGTCAGATCGACAGTGTGTAGGGGCTAGGGAGAAGATTGACATTCGGATTGTTGGACCTTCACTCAACTAAACCTCCTTTACGCGTGTGACTGTAAAAAAGACTTGTAGGACTGTGAGAACGAGAAAACTAAGGGGAGAGGCGCCAGTTCACCCGGATTGTGTGTAGAGTACGGGCTCGGCCCACTTTCCCATTTCGAAGCGCAGAGAAAGAACTTGATGGGGAAAGGCTTTCAACATACAGATTCCTTCTCTTCCTACGAGGAGTATCGTAAATTTCTTACTCCCAACAATTCGGCCGGCAAACTTGCCTCAGGAACATTTTGAGGTTCCCCCCCACGTCCAAAAGGAGAAGTGCCAGAAGTGCCAAGAACGCCAAGACTTAAACTTTAAATGTGTGAAAATTTCCATCCTTTCTCAGCCTCAGACCTTTTCTTTTTCACTTCCTTTTATCTATCTCACCACTTGCGCCTTCTCACCTTCCCATCAATGAGTGATTCAATCTCTTCTTGACCATCAATTGATCCATAAAACCCGCTTGAGGGCCCTGGAAGATGCGGAGATAGCAAATAGACGTGTCACTGAATCTCTGATGGCGCGGCCTTGACCCAGAAGGATCCTCGATTTCCTACAAGCCTTTGACCGCAATGCTCCATTGAAAACTTCCAGGCTGTCTACCAATTCTTCCAGGATACCAATTAGCTTTGAATCGGAGTTTCCAGTTCACCGTTCGATGGCGCCAAAGCTCTGATGTTTATGCTTCTCAACTCCCTACGGCCATCTACGGTCTAACACTCACGTATGAGAATGAAGCTCCCTCGGCTTATTCGTCGTGGATCCCAGCTACCGCTGAAAGAACAGGACAAAGCCTCTTCTCCGCCATCAAATAAGCCTCTCCCGCAGCCACAGAAAGACTGCCGTATTCTGTGCATTCTCCCCGGCCGCGCTTCAGATCCTGTTGTTTGCACTACCAGTGTCATCAGTTTGGCGGAGGCTGCAGGCAGATATGATGCCTTGTCTTATTGCTGGGGCTCAAAGGATCGCACTCGACCTATTGTTTGTGATAACGCACCGTTTAGCGTTACTCCGAATCTGGAGTGTGCGCTGAAACGTCTCCGAGCACCGGATATAGCTCGAAATTTCTGGATTGATCAGCTGTGCATAGACCAAGACAACCTCCGAGAGAAGGAGCAGCAACTGGGGTTGATGGCTGGTATTTATCGGCGTTCGAGCAGGCTGCTAATTTGGTTGGGCGACGACGAAGATGACTCCCGCAAGGCCAATAAGATAATTGACCGTCTGTTGAAGCTGGACCAGATTGCGGGCCTTGGTAACAAATACAGCAACGATGATGTGTCCCAGCAGACGAGAGGTAGCATAGGCTTAGACCAACTTAAGTCTCACGGATTGCCTGGCCCTAAGGACACAGGTTGGCTGGAGTTACGATCTTTGCTCTCGCGACCATGGTTCTCCCGAATCTGGACCGTACAAGAAGCTGCAGTTGCTACTAAAACGGACATTCTGTGGGGAAAGGAGTATTCACTCTCCTGGCAAGGAATGTTATCCATCATGGTCTTAGTTCGCGAGCACTTACCGAGGACCTTGCTAGGATCGGACATCTTTTTCCGGGGATTGCCAGCAGACTCAGTCTACCGCATTGCTGCAACTATGCGGACGCTAGAAGATGGCACTCATCATGATCTCTTCAATCTGGCACTGACATACAAGGCCTATGGCGCAGCAAAACCGCAGGACAAGCTCTACGCATTGCTCAATATTTCCAATTCATCGCAGACCGCAGACTATGAGAAGTCTGCAGAGACTACTTTTCACGAGATGGCACACCAGACTATCAATAAAGTCTATCAAGAGATTGCCAGACGCCCGGAAGAGCTGTCACAGCAGCAATGGCACCCATATCCAGATATTTTACAAGGGCCTCATCTGAGAATGGTTGCATTGATTTGTGCAGCAGGAATTGCTAATCAGCAAATTTCCTTGCCTTCTTGGGTGCCAGACTGGACCTTTGATTCATTCCCTGCGCCAATATGGACGCGGAAAACCTGTCATAGGATCCCAGCATCTGCCAATACCTTTGATTGGCCCGGTGCTCGTCCAACAAACCTTACCTTGGAGCGGTCGACCATCGTCAGTTCCAACTTGGCTGAAATGCAATGGTCAGCGGAGGGTGGAACATTGATAGGGTCTGCAACTTTGCCAGGTACTATCCAGATAAAAGGCCTCATCTGTGATGTAATCAGCAGGCGTGGTTTCGCAAAAGTCGATATTGGGAAGCCACTGGAACACGAAGAGCAACAAAAGGCACTGATGGAATGGCTTCTCGAAGCTGATGACATGGCCGATCTCGGAATAGAAGCTTCCTACGGTGGAGGTGCAGACGCCGAACTCTTCAGACGAGCTCTTCTCTTTGACGAATCAATGCTTCAAGCTCCAGAAATTCAGAGACCAGAGCTCTTGAAAACACTACGTTTTGCTAAACATCCAAGATTCGCCAGCACGATGAAGCGCAAATTACAACCCTGGGATTATCTCCAAGCCATTCAGAACATTCCTGGCCGAACCTTCTTCGTGACCCAAGGCGGTCGTATGGGACTTGCACCTCACAGCACGCATATGTACGACAAACTATGCGTTCTCCCAGGGTTTGAAGTACCGCTGGTACTCCGTCCAGATGGGAACGAGTTTCGACTCGTTGGGGAATGTTACGCTGGCAATGATGATATGATGCCAGGTGGTTCTGAATACTCTCGGATGACACCAGAATGGATCTCGATCAAATGAGGGATCCGCTGGCCACCTTTAGCTCCGTGTGTAAAGCTGGCGCGTATCTGTGCTTTCCGCTTGCTGCCTGCGTGTCCTTTGATAAGGGTGAGAGAATTCTCGCATTTTAATGCCTTGACGGAAATGAATCTCATCGCCTAGCCTAGGTGCGGGCAGACGCCGGTGTACCCTGTCAAGTGCGAGCTCTGCCTTCAGCGCCAAAGTCTAAAGTGGTTTTCTTCTTCTGTGAAATCACAGCAACTGTGGCGATTAATGACGAGCGACTTGGAAAAAAGACAGGCGAAGTGTTGGCATTCTTCAGCTGCCAGCACCCTCGGGAAGCTAACCATACTGCGATGGTGAGCCGGCATGTGTTGAAGCGGCTCAACACAACCTGTTATCACTTTCGAGAAGTGATTACCTCCATTCTCTTCGACTATTCCTACCTCACGCTGTTACATCAATCCCTCAAGTCTGATAATGGCAACCACGACTCCTTCTACGCCCGTTGCAACGCCAAAGAAGCGTCAGTATGTCAGCACCTTCCTACTGAGACTGGTAAGAGTAGTCTGCTGACAGTCGCTAGCTGGGGTGACATTGCCACCGTGACTCTGGTCGTCGGCGAAGCCGAAACTACATTCCAGGTCCATGAGGCAGAGCTATTTGAGGCTTCACCAGTCTTCAAGGCCGCTTTCAATTCGGACTTTAGAGAAAGCTCGGAGCGCAAGATGAACCTCCCGGAAGATGACCCTGATATCTTCAACCTCATGGTTGAATGGCTTTATAGTCACCGCTACGATATTCTGCAACCAACTGGGGATAAAATCAGGGACGAAACAAGGTTTATGGAACCTATGCGATTGTACGTTCTTGCCGACAAGTACGGCATGACCAGCTTGAAGGGTTGCATTGCCAATATCATCTTCAAGACCTTGAAGCCCGGCAACGTGACGGGACCCAGCATTGAAACAATCGCCTATGCATACCAAAATGTTCCCCAGACTTCAGGCATCCGAAGATTGTTGGCAGATCTTTACGCCTGCAACATCAACTTTGACTGGTACAAGTCGCCAATAGCCAAGCCGTTGCTTCAGAAGTACCCCGAATTCGCAACCGACATCATCTTGAGTTTTGCTCGGCACACTTCGAGGGAGGGCATAAAAAACCCATTCAAGGGTGAGATGCCCGAGGCGTACAAAGAGTGAGTGGGTCAATGGATAGGATATTGGAATGGAAAAGAAGGGCCAATAGCGGGCGACAAAGAGGTTTTGTCGTTTCCCTTGGAACGGAGCAATGAATGGAGTTTTTGAATCTTGGTGCTTCTTGACGGTCTGTAGATGCCAGACAGATGTTTTTCCACGAGCCAGATTGATTTGAATCTCCTATCAGCTTGCTTAAGAGCGTTGCCTCTATTGACAATTGGCATTGGATCACCTATCTCCACATAGAGATCGCCACCGTGGGACTGGGGGTTAGTGGGATATTTGATATGCTCCTGTTTCATGGCCTTGTCCGTACCCTTGCAAGGGGTAGGAGACAGGTGTCCAGTACGAGCTATATAGCCACCTGTTTTGCACCTGTCAATGGCTCTTCATTCGATTCTGTCTCTTTCAGAGCCATTGCATACCTTTTGTCCCACCCACCCACACCTGTACATATCTAGCTATCATTTCACTCCAGGTCTATGCCATAGGCATAGGAGTTCTATTGCGCTGGGGTACGAGAAATATGCCTGTTCAAGCCTCTATTAGGCTGCTATCCCCGCGTGAGACGGCCCAAGCAATCTACACTCGGTGTGGGCCCTTATGTGTGCTTGTAACGCGTGTTTTTCACAAATGGTACAACTAATTACTCTATGTCGTCAGATCCAACTTCGCTTTCGTTCAATTTCAGATCTCGACCAAATCATGACCGGGACCAGGCTGCGAGCCAGGTACTTCCACAATGACCAAGATGTTTTGAGACAGTGGCTGGAATGCAGCGAACCCTTTTCAAATCCCAGAGCGGGCACGGTTCTAGAAGCAAGTAGTCGCAAGTATGCCCCATCGCGAACGACGTCTAGCAGACAGCAGTAAGTAACCTTCTAAATTACTTCCGCAATGCTGGCTGTCAATCTCGGCAAGTGTTTACCAGAATTTCGTTACCCGCCCAGGACCCTCGGATGCGACCCGGCCACGACCTGCCAGACACCAGCTCACAAATGTCCATGTGTAGTGGCCGAAAACTTTGTATCAGAGGCCGTGAGAGCGCCGAGCGGAATAGTACAACGCAAGACCATCGTTCATTAAATCTGCGCCGTTCTGTCTCAGTTGCGAGCTTCATCCAAATCCAAAGCAGACGCGCCTTGTCGCTCGTATTCGCATCGACCAGATAGTCGTCGCCCTCTCTGCTTGTGATTGTTAGCGACCGTTGGCCTTGCTGTCAACTACGCAGCCTGATTCTCTTCCAGAGCCCGCAGGCGACTCCGGCTGCGAAGCCTTGGAGCGCGATGGGCACTGATCCCACGAAGCAAGGATACCATGCTCGCAAGATGGGTAGTCGCCGCTGGGTAGAGTGGTAGTACCGGCTTCTGCGAGGAGTCTGTTTGCGACTTTGCTTACGTTGACCCTGTGGCCTTGATGGCTTGTGTGCTGGCAGTGATATATATTAGGTGCTCCCCACCGTCGAGAGCCAAACGGCCTAACGTATCGATGATTGGTCTTCTCGTGGCGTTGCTGAGTACTACAAATGTTCATTCCTAAAGTATGAGGTATCCTTTAATGCCCTGGAATGCTAAAAGGCTGTATTTAGCGGCGAAAACAGACCCGCAATCGAATAATAGCGATTCTTGTTCAGCGACTCGGACGAAGTGAAGAATCGAACGAGACTGAAATTGTGCGGGTTGTACAGCTGTCTTTGCTAATGAGTATGCGTAAAGAGCGGCCATCCGTGTCTATGCGGCGGAGTCCATTAATGTATGATTACTTCTGAAGGACAAAAGCTGAACCACTGTTATCTTGGCAGGCGCTATACCTGCTCAAGGCTGCATCTTGCGCACCAGCATCACTATGTGGTAGCGCCAACGTTAAATGTAAGATCGGCGAACCAGAATCACTATGTCAATTCGAGCCGCTCATAATCAATCTCGCATGTTGAGACCTCGCTTAGGCGTACCGAGATGGACGAGATGTGGCTAGTACCACAAAATACCATGGAAATTGGTGTTGAAGAGGCGCTGGAAATATCAAAGTGCGACTTTCTACTGCCTCTGTGACATATTGCCGAGGGTGTAATGCAAGTGTGATCCTAAGGGGTCTGAAAAGACTTGGCTTCAGTGCAGGATGTTGCCGCGGAGCGCGCAGTGGGCTCTCGAAGAGCCCAGGCACGGTCGTCGGCTTAGGAAAAGATTGAGCTGACCATCGACGTATGAGAAACGCTTCTTCAACTCCTGGGGGAAAGACTATAGGGTATACAAAGTATTAGTAGAATTTGATCCCAGTAAGGTATCCCTTCCCCTTTGTTCGGGGTGTACACGCTAGCAGGGGTCAGATATAGGGATCTTGATTGATCAACTCAGGCTTGCCGCGCCCATGAGTAAAAAAAATCTTAAGCCGCAGTGATTGGACAAATGATAACCCCTACATCTGGCCCCTACTAGCGTGTAACACCCCGAACACAGCGAGAGGGATATTGAACATACCATTCTCTTGGCACGCTAGCTCCCTTGGTCTCGGGCCGGGCGCACTTCACCGAATTCCCGGACACGCCTCTCATTCTCTTACGGATACTCTTCCTTCATCCTTCTTCAACCCACAAAGAAGCGAGAAAATTACTACATCAGTACCACAGAGACGAAGCACAAGCCCTAGACTTACGTCTCTTCCCTAGACTAGCTCTCGTTTCTGTCAGTAGGTCTAGAGTAGGTCCTCCAACGCCAAGCCCGGCCTTGGCTGAAGCTTTAGGAAAGCGTTAGGATCTGAAACAGAGAATAACATCAAAGAAACATGGACATCAATGCGCTCAAGCCTGCCATTGGCTACCTCGTTGCCACCTTCCTCACCACCGCCGGTCTCACCACCATACTAAACCCCATCCTCCGCTCCAAAAACTTCGGTGTCACCGCTCGTCCTGGCGATAGAGCCACGCTGGCCTACATCAAGCCTATGGGTGCTAGAGATCTCTCTCTCGGTCTCACCATTGGCATGTTCATGTACAGAGGGGACCAGGAGAGTGCGGGCTTGGTGACTTTGATGGCGCTTGGGGGTCCAGTCATGGATGCCTGGGCAGTCTGGAGTTATAACGGGCGGCTGAAAGAAGCTTGGCCACATATCATTGGTGGTTGCATTGTTGGTGCCATGGGAACCTGGTTGGCTGGCTGATGATCTTGTGAGTCAAGCACTTCAACTGTTGTTCATGACTAACACAGTGGAAGGGTTGAGGCGATCTGAAGGAGGTGAATGGCAAGAACAAAATGGATATTTGGGGCTTCTGAGTCGATAAGAAAACAGTGCTATTGTAGACTAAAATACAGTATGAAATTACACCATCGATATTGCTAGACCCGGACGCGACATTAGACAGGAAGGGCAACCCGAAAGAAACGGATAATCTTGTAGACCAACACGCTTTGGAGGAAGCTCGAGAACGTGGTTTGTGGGTGCGTGATGGTCGGCTGCGTACTTGATAAAGATGCTGGATAAATTGCCGCCCGAGATTGTCCAGCTGATTCTCGAACGTGTACTTCCTTGAATAATTATAAGTTCTGCGTTTTATGCAAAGTAGATTCGTGATAGCAGAGACCTCAAAAGGCTCTGCGAAGTCTCCAAGAACATCTAAAACTGCACCATTCCTATACCGTATCAAGCGGTCACCCTTCACGTCGCCGAGGAATGGGGATTAGAAGACTTTGATATCGAACCGCTTTTGCGAAGGTGCTTAACTACTAATGGCCGTCTCCGATAGGTGAAGCACCTGTATCTCGCCGCTGATTTTACCGGAGGCTTACGAGCCGTCGTGGGCACTTGGACCTCGGTTGCCCGAACCTGGAAGATCTGGAGGAATAGTTGCCACCACGTATGTCCTTGGCTCTTGCTTACGGCCAATGAAGCATGACCACCGTCCGGATTAGTAGCGAGAGTGAGCCTGGGTAACTATACTTCCTTAGCCTATTGAGTTCTCTACCATATAACGTCCAGTTTCCACGTCCTTACACGTATATTCCCAGGACGCACTTATAATACAAAGAAACCAGGTGGGAAAAAGAGTGCCAGCCGAAGTTTTTATGTCTTAACCATATTTTCATAGAACTATAACTTATCTATATATTCTAAACTCGTATATCGATATATAAGTAACGTAGAGTAAAGATTAGTATATAATTAACTTTAGAGTTTAACGAAGAATAAACTAACTCTAACTCTAATTCTAAGCTATAATAGTAATAATAATAATTATAATAATTATAATAGTAATAGCTATAATAGTAATAGCTATTATATCGAATTTATTAAATAAGAATAAATACGATTAATCTTTAATTAGAATAATAATTAGAATAACTACTTTATACTTTTAAATATAGAAATTCTAATTATTTATAATATAATATTATAAATATATTATCTTATAATATATATCGCTAAGATTTTATATCTTATAAGTTTAAATCTATAAATTAAATTTATAATCTATTTTTTTAATTAAAATTTTTATTAAGAAATAGTTCTTAATATTATATAATATTAATATAGTATAAAGTTATTTTATTAATTTATATAATCTATAGATATATATATATAAAGAGAGACGCGCTAAGACTTAATTAGAAAGATATATCGAGTATAAAGAATTAATTCGTAATAATTATTTATAAAAAATAAAGAAAGACTATATTCTTATAGTAAGAAGTATTAAAATATCGAAAAGAAATAAAGATAACGTATTAATTAGTAATGTAAATTTTATAATATCTTCTATTATAGTAAAATCTTTTAAATAATAAAATAGCTTTAATTCGTTTAAATATATATTATTTAATATTTCTTCTATAGAGACTTAATTAACTATAAGCGTCGTAATAGATTCTTCTCTTATAACGTTATTATAATAATATATTATATTAATATAATCGAGATAATAAGTTAAATTATAGTAGTATTCTTCGCTTATTAAATAATAATTTAATATAAAATCGTAAAGAGTATATAACGTAAGATTTTAAAGAGCTAAGTTATATTCTTAACGATAATAATCTTATTATCGCTTAATTTCTTCGTAATATTCTTCGTATTTATCTATTATAATTTCTTCTCTTACTTCTTAATATAATAAAGATAATAAACTAAGTTATAATAGTATTCTTCGCTTACTAAGTAATAATTTAATATAAAATCGTAGAGAGTATATAACGTAGAATCTTAAAGAGCTAAGTCGTATTCTTAATAATAATAGTCTTATTATCGCTTAATTTCTCCGTAGTATTCTTTATAGTATTCTTTATAGTACTCTCCATATTTATCTTTTATAATTTCTTCTCTTACTTCTTTTCTTATAGAGTATTAGACTAAGTAGCTAGTTAAGTAATTAATTAAGTAAATAAGTAAGTAATTAATTAACGATTTAACTAAGTAAATTATTAAGCTAATAAAATAAATAGTATTAATTAAGCGACTAGTCGAGTATCGCTAATTTAAAAGAAGTATATAGAAGAGAACGATAGCTATAAATTCGTTTAAGCTCTTTTTAAAAGTCTTTTAACGCGTTTATAAGTAATAATAAATAGCTATTAAACTGCGGCCTCGATTATTAATAATAATAAATTCGTTAAGAGATAATCTAAGAGTATTAATAAAGACTTTAAAAGACGAATAAAAGAGATATATATATTTTAAATATTAAATAATCTTTAAATAAGAGATATCGAAAATAATTGTATTTATATTAATAAAATTAATAGAATTAATAGAGTAGTAAAAGAATAATAATTATATAAATAGATAAAAGAATTATTATTCGATTTCGAACGCGTTTAATATAACTACGATATTTAAATATTAATTTAATTTATTAATAGTAAATTAAACTTTATTATTTTTATAGCGTTAGAAAGCGTATATTAAACTCTATAATTTACGAAATTATAAAATAATAATATTCTTAGAAAGATAGTTATTTTAGAGTATAAACCTTTTATATATAAATTTTTAATAAGAAAGCGCGAGAGGGCTAGCGGGCTAACTTAGATAGTCTAGCTAAAAAGCGTAGAGAACTCGAATTAATAATTAGCTATATATATAAATTTAAAATTTTTAAGCTTAATTCTATCTTATTCTTTTATATATATTAATTAAATATAAGATTATATAAATATTAATATCTTATATCTTATTAGAGTATAATATAATAGATTAATATAATATATTATATTATATCTTTTTAATTAATATTCGAGAGTCGAATCTAATCTCGAAGTTATATTTAAAAGTTAATTACTTTTTATAAATTTAATTTATAAATCTAAATTTATCTTATAATAATATCTTTTAATATATATATATTATTATAATTAATCGTCTTAGCTTATATAGTAATAATTAATATATATAAAAGAATAAGATAAAGTTAAGTTTAAAAATTTTAAATTTATATATATAATTAATTATAAATTTAAGTTCGCTACGCTTTTTAATTAAATCGATTAAATTAGCCTAATAATCCTTTTAAGCTCTCTTATTAAAAATTTATATATAAAAGTTTTATACTTTAAAGTACTTAGTTTACGATATATATAGTTATTTTATAATTCTTTAAATTATAAAGCTCGCTTTATATTTTCTAACGTTATAAAATTTATAAAATTTAATTTACTATTAATAAGTTAAATTAATATTTAAATATAGTAGTTATAGTAATTATATTAGACGTATTTAGAATCGAATAATAATTCTTTTATCTATTTATAAGTAAAGGTCTATAAATTAAATTTATAGAGTTAAATTTTTCATTTTTCTAAGTTAAATAAAGTTAAATTTTTCTAAGTTAAATAAAATTTTAGTCTTAGCCCTAAGTTAAATTAAACTCTAATCGCTTATTATACGTTTTTAATCTACTTCTATTACTATAAAATTAATTTAATCTATAAAATATATATATATATATATATAAAAAGAGACGTATTAAGATTTAATTAGAAAGATATATTAAGTATAAAGAATTAATTCGTAATAATTATCTATAAAAAATAGAGAAAGACTATATTCTTATAATAAGAAGTATTAAAATATCGAAAAGAAATAAAGATAATATGCTATTTAGTAATGTAAATCTTATATTATCTTCTATCGTAGTAAAATTATTCGAATAATAAAATAGCTATTAGAGTAAGATATCGAACGATTTTAATTTATCTAAATATATATTATTCGATATTTCTCTTATAGAGGCCTAATTAACTATAAGCGTCGTAGTAGATTCTTCTCTTATAATATTATTATTAGTATATATAAAAGAATAAGATAAGACTAAGCTTGAAAATCTTGAATTTATATATATAACTAATTATTAATTTAAGATTACTACGCTCTTTAATTAAATCGACTAAGTTAGCTCGCTAGCCCTTTCGAGCTCTCTTATTAAAAATTTATATATAGAAGTCTTATACTTTAAAGTACTTAGCTTACGATATATATAGTTACTTTATAATTTCTTAAATTATAAAGCTCGCTTTACGCTTTCTAATGCTATAAAAATTATAAAGTTTAGTCTACTATTAATAAAGCGAAGTAGCATTTAAATATAATATATACGAAACGCGTTCGGAATCGAATAATAATCCTTTCATCTATTTATATAATTATTATTCTTTTACTATTCTATTAATTCTATTAATTTCATTAATATAAATATAATTATCTTCGATATCTCTCGCGGAAACGTTATTAAACGCTTTAAATATATATATCTCTTTTACCCGTCTCTTAGAGCCTCTATGAACGCGAATTTGCTACTACTAGTAATTAAGGCTATAAGCGAGCTTAATAACTATCTACTACTACTTATAAACGCGTTAGAAGATCCTTAAAAAGAGTTTAAACGAATTTATAGCTATCGTTCTTCTCTATATACTACTTAATTAGTCGCTTAATTAATACTATCTACTTTATTAGCTTAATAATTTACTTAATTAAATTATTAGTTAGTTACTTAGTTATTTACTTAATTAGCTACTTAGCTAATTACTTAGTCTAATACTCTATAAGAAAAGAAGTAAGAGAAGAAATATAATAGATAAATGCGAAGAGTATTATAAAGAATATTACGGAGAATATTACGAAGAAATTAAGTAGTAATAAAACTACTATCGTTAAGAATACGACTTAGC